AAGGACACTCTCCTGCAGAGGCTCCCGCGGAACTGGGCAAGAGCTGTTGGAACCAGGAGTGATTTTGCAGGTAGAGCTGGAAGCCCCGCTTAAATGCCCAGATGTGGGTGTAAAGGGAAAACGAGGAGTCTGCTGGGTCTCGAGTCTGGGGTCTGCGTGGCTGAGTGGGCGACCGTGGTGTTGGCTTGGAGGAGAGAGCAGGTGGGGAAGGCAGGAATCAAGAATGCAGTCCTGGACATGTTCGAGCTAAGGGCCCTTCAGCCATCCAAGGGGAGGAGGGCTCGAGGAGGGAGGGGGCGGGGCACACCTGCAGCTCGGAGACACGCTGCCTGTGGACCGCCACCGTCTGAACGGGACTTCCAGCCCGGGCGCTAGAAGAACCCCAGCAGGGCCCGAGTGCAGGCGGAGTCAGGCACTGACGCCTGGAACAGCTCCAGGGCGAACGCACTGCTGGCACCGGGCGCTTCCAGATGGAGACACTGAGCAGAAAGGGGACTGAGTGTCTTGCTGGAGTCGCCAGCTGGGAAGTAGCGGGGCAGGGACTCAAACCCAGCTGTTTCCTTCCGGACGCTACACCACGAACACTTACCCTCTGCTCCCCGGACATTGCTCTTGGAGCGGTGGGAGGTTTCTGAAGATCGGAAGGGTGTTTTGAGCAGAGGCATGGCCCAGCCTAGCTCCGCTGCCTCCAGGCAGCTTGGTGAGGGGAAGGCGCGTAGCCCAGATGTCAGAGATCCTGAGTCTCGCCCTGCTTGCGCTGCCTGTGTGGCTCTGAGCAGTCACGTTGCCACTTTGTGCCTCAGTTTTCTGCTCTGTAAAATGGGACTAGGAGCCCCTCCCACGCAGCTGCGGTCCCAGTCTTCCGAGAAGACTCTGTTGGAAAGTGGACGGAGGGCGTTCTGCTGAGGAACCTGCAAACCGAAGGCTGGATGAGCTTTCCCTGGATGAGGGAGGGAGTCCTAATCCTGTTTCTTTGTTTTTGTTTTCTTCCGTCTCCAAACCAGAGTCATGATGTTTGAAGGCAAAGCCCAGGAGAGCAGCCCCAAGCCGGTTGGCCCCCCTCCAGAGAGAGACATTGCCAGCCTGCCCTGAGGACCCCGCCCGGACCTGCCCCTGCCCTCCCTGCCCCGTTCCTCCCTCCTGATCTCGCTGCCCTCTGGACTCATCGTGTTTCATCTTATTTGGGGTTTTTTTGATCATTGGGCATGTTTATTTCTTCTTTTCATCTGCAGAATCAGTGACCTCTTTGTGAAGCACCAATTATCTGCCTTAAAGAGACTCTGGGATCCCCTCCCTCTCTCTTCCCCTCCTCCCTCCACCCCCCACCCATGCAGAAGGGCTGACGCCAACCCAAAAACCAGAGGAGGCAGGGCCAGGCAGCTCCCTGCCTCCTCTGGAAGCCTGTGACCCCCATGCTTAGAGCTGGTATTGTCTGTTCTTCCCGGAGGTCTCTGAGCTCAGCCCAGGCTCTCTGGCCTGGCCCTGCTGAGGACCTCAGCCCCTTTCAGAAGACACTGGAGTAGGGACAAGCCTGCAGGTCTTGCTAGGTTTTCCCCCAGAGCTTTCCAGGAGGTCACCACTCCCTGCCCCACTGCCCCCAGGTGATGCCCCGCTCAGGCCTTGCTTCTTCTCGTCCTCACTCAGGTGATGGCAGGATTGAGCCCTTCAAGAAATTCCAGAAGGGAATTCCAGAGGAATGCCAGAAGAAACCCTCTGGCCTCGCCATCCCCACCCTCCCTGCCAGCCACACCTTTACAGGCAGCTCGGGGGGAGCCCTGTCCCTTGCTGGGGCAGCAAGGGCTTTGGAGGTGGAAGGGAGGCCCGGGGCCTTGTGGGAGGAGGCTCATCGCAGTCTGGTCCTACCTTTCAGGGAGGATGCTGAGGGCAACAGGTGAGGAGGGTGAAGGATAAAATGCTTGTGGCAAAAAGAGTCAGCACAACTGTGAAGCCAAGACGTGAGAAACAGGATGCTGCCTTTCTGATCCCGGTCTCCTTGAACACTGTGCTTCCCCACTCGCCTCCCCAGCTCACGTCACTCACTCGTTCATTCACTCATTCATTCACTCAGTCCCTCATACACCAGATATTTATTGACCACTTATTATAAGCTTTAAGGCCCTCCGACTTTGTCCTGACCTGTGCGTGCGTGTCCACTGTCTCTCTTAACTCATCTCCCCCTTTCCAAATTGCCCCGAACCTTGAGCTTGGGGATTGGATGGAGGGTCCCCCATGTCCTCCATCCTGGACTCGGGGTTTTACAGCCCTGATTTACCCTGTAGGTTAGCTGAGCCAGTCCTCTCGTGTCACTGGTGAGAAAACTGGGGTGGCCCACGGGATCAAGTGCCTTGCCGAAGGTCAGGGGTTACTGTGGAGACGGAAGGGTCTGGACGGAAGCCCCGGTGTTCAGATGCCCTGCCCCTGCCTCATCTCTGCTCTGGGTTGCCTCAGGCAGTGAGGATAACGCAGGGAGGGGCAGTCTCCCAGGTCAGGGCTGCGGGGAGACCCTGGGCCGGGACGCACCTTCCCAGAGCCTCCGAGTCCGCATCAGGGTCTGGGTCCGGGCCTGGCCAGCTTTGCAGTTCTGCCTTCCCTAGAGCTTCTCAGCCAAGCCGTGTCTCGGGGCTCGGGGCTCACGCAGGTGCCACAATCAGCCCCACGCTGGCTGGGCAGGAACCTTAGCCTGGACCCCACCTGTGGTCTGGGTCCCTTACCCCTCGACGCACTCATCTGTTGAACGTATTTATTAAGCGCCTGCTGTGGGCCAAGAGCACTGAGAACCCGGTAGTGAAATGGACAGGAACGTAGAGTCCCGTGAGGAGTCCCGTGAGGATGGCAGACCCAGGCAAGGACGAGGGAGATGGATGCTAGGAAAGAGGGGGCTTGGGGGTGACCTCACAGAAATTCCGAGGGCCTAGCCAGGCCCTCGATGAGGCGAGAGTCTTGGAGAAGCCCTCGCCAAACCTGAAGCGGAAAGGTGTGGGTGCTGTTGGAGGCTGGAGCCAGTGCGGGATCCCCGTGGCTCCTCGGTGCCCCCATACTCAGGGCCCAAGGAGCTGCCCTGACAGCAGTTTGAGGGACTGCAGCAGGCAGGGGATGGGAAAACACCCCGCTCTGGTTAGTCAGCTGGTCCTAACCAGTGCAAGAGCAAGATTACTTTGGCCAGGACTGTCTGATCTTCAGGCTAAGGAGCTGCTCAAGTGCACAGGCCTAGTTGAAGTTTAAACCCCAGCAAAACAGTTCTCCCTGTAAATGTAAAATCTCACCCCACCTCCTTCCCTGCCTTGTTTTCTTCCCCCGCTGAGATCGTTAGATAATTTACTGCCCGTCCCCACCCCTCCCTCTCCTCTCTGGGACAGGATGAGACCTTTGTCAAGGTGAGGCTTTCTTTGACTGCCCCTCAGGGCACCCGATTCTCCCCCAGAGGGGGCAGAGCCAGCCGGGTTTATTTCAGTAGGCTCAGCTGTCCGGTCTGCAAGACCATGGGAAAGCCTCCCTGGGGAGGAGAGGGAGTGGGTGTGTCCCAGGCTCTGGAAAGCGCAGGAATGGGAGCTCGTCACTGCAAGGGGCGTGTCCTGAGGAAGCCCACCTGACCCTTCGCCATGTTTGGAACTCAGCTCCTGGAGGGAGAGGGGCTCAAGAGTGGTCTCTGGAAAGGGGGTCCCGTGTGTATTCCAGGTTGTGTCTACTGTGTCTAGAACTCTGCTTCTCTGGCTAAGGGCTCAGCTTCTTAGAACTTCAGCTGTCTTCTTTCCGAAAGACCAAATCTTACTCGTGTAACCAGAAACTTGGGGACTGCCAAGTCTGGTGTGTCCCCGCGACTCAACATGAAGAAGTGTGTCGCGCAAGTTCAGGTGGATGCAATGTGTGTGCGCATGCCTGTGAGCGTGTGTGATGCCGGTTATCCTCTGCACATACTGGAAATAAAACAGACAAACTGATGTCTTGATTGGTGTATTTTGGGGATGGGCTCCGGCCGGTGGGGGGGAGGGGGGCGGGGCTCAGCAAATTCTGAAGAGCCAATTATAGGAACAGATTGCATGAATGTGTCTGGTGTACCCGGCTCTGCTAAACACGAAACTTCATTCATCCCTCACACAACAACCCAAGGAGTCAGGTTCTGATTGTCATCCTTTTTTTTTTTTTAAATATAAAATGAGAGGCAGGCTTGTAGCAGATCTGCAATTTGCTGAAAAACCAAGCAGTAAGTGGTAGAGTGTGTCCCGGCCTCCCACCTCCACGCAATGGTCATCAATGAGTTTATCCCGACGAGTTGAATTCTAATCCCGCCTCCACCGCTCTCTGACCGACCGGCACTGGGTAATTGGCTTTTCTGTGCTTCTAGTTAGCTCATCCATCGTATGGCAATGACCCCTAGGTGACTAGGACGTCTGGAAGAGTAAATAACACACCCAAAGTGTTTTCGTGGTTTCCAGGCTCTTGCTTCGGAAATGACTACCTTGGAAGGATAAGCACAGCCGATGTTTGGGGAACTTGAGCCTCCCCTTTCAGCCTTCAAATTTAGATACAGAAAAGTCTCCCTTGGTGAGGTCCCATTCCACCCACTTTCTGCATCTCCTTTCCTCCACATCCCTCTCCAAAGCCCCTCTCAAGAGCTGCGCCTGGAAATACTTGTCAGTTTCCTAACTTCTCTAAATCCGCAATTATTCATAACCACCTACGTCCAAAGGTTACCATGGAGTCTCAACCCAACGCTGAGCACTGAGCGCGGAGCGCTCGGGCATGCGCGGTACGACGACGGCCACCAACGAGATGAGCCGGCTCGAGCTACCAAAGCCGGATTGGCACCCGGATGGTTCAGGACGCAGGCGCGCAGGCTCCAGAGCCACACCCCCTACTCAGCTCGAGCCAGCCAATGGGAGGCGGCGGCTAGTAGAGCGCGCGACTTCAGACCGTCCCTTAGCCTTCCTAGACCAAGCCGCGGACGGAAACGCGTGACGCCACCAAAGCGCGCCGGAAGTGCGGGACCGCTGTGCGCCGCTAGCATTGTGTGGAGGAAGTCGGCCTGGGGGCGGCCTGCGCTGGGCAGCCAAGGCCGCGGGGGGCAGCGCAGGCTGCTTCGACCACCCGAGGACGGCGCAATGGGAGACGAGATGGACGCCATGATCCCCGAACGGGAGATGAAGGTCAGAGACTAGCCGGGGCCTCCCTCCCTTCTTTAGTCTTGGCGTTGCCTTAGAGCCCCACGGAACAGCTCTGCGCAGGTGCCGGCTGCCCCGCCTCCTGCTTGAACATTTGCCGCGTTCAGAGTTCTCGCCTGCACACCCTGGGGCACTGTGTCTGCCGCCCGCGTTGGAGGAGAGCGGTTTCCCTTTCCCGTGTTGGTCTCGTGCGAGCCACCTGGGTTACTTTAGCTGCTTTTCTGTGGTGGTCGGAGTAGTGGTAATAAACTATTAATATTGAGTTTACTATGTGCTAGGTACTGTGTTAATCACACAGCAACCCTACGAAAAAGTTAGTATTAGAGGAGTAAGTCAAGGTTCGGAAAGTAGCTTACCCAAAGTCACACTGGACAGAGACAAATCCAGGGGGCGGGTTTGTTTGTTTGTTTGTTTGTTTGTTTTTTAAGTAGTCTCTCTTTTTCTGCCTCATTGTACTGTTTCTGCCCAGGCCTGCTTAACACAGAGCCAGGACTCATCACCTGTCCTACAAAAAAACTTAAGTTAATTGGAATAGGAGGACTCTTCTGGTACTGGAAATCTGCCTAAGTCAGGAAACTAAAGAGGGGGCAGGTGATCCCAATATTGGTTATAAACACGAAAGGGAGTAAGTTGCAGGAAGGTTTTAGGCATTTGTTTGAACAAATCTCTGACATCAATTTAGGGAGTAGTAATCCATACTTTTAGAGAGCAGTGATTCTCAAAATCACTGCCTTCATATTCATCAGATATGCTGGAGCAGGGGGTGGAAAAGGTTTTAGAACCACAGACTCAGAAGATGGCATCTCCCTTTGAGTTACTGACTACAACAGAAAGGAGAGCGGTCTTGTGGCCTCTTCGTCCCACCAGCCCTCCACCTCCATGTGACCAAGGCCCGGGAAGGATATTTGGGATTACCAGGATAAGAAATGTCGAAGAGACTAAAATTTTATTGCTGCTCCTGTATGAAACTGTACTGTGGTTCCCCCTGGAAAGCTGTGCGGATTTCTGGTCAGTTGGAAATTAAGAGCATTTCATTAATCTTTCCGAAAATACACATTAAACGTGGAATCGAAGGAGGAGCGTGTGGGGTGTGGCAGGGATGCTCTGTGAGACCTGCGTGTGCCGAAGTGAAGGCCGAGGAAGGCTGTCTTCGGCCCTTACACTTTGGGGACGTGAGCAGAAGGGGATTTGCATTCTTTTCACCAAAACCTGGACTCAGAGATAAGTTTAGAATGAAAGGGGGGGAAAAAAGCTCTTATAGTACAACTTAACATCACGATTGGTAAACTTATGGACCTCTTTTTACCAAGAAGCGGCACACACTGAAAATTGTCTTTGAAAGCATGTAGATAAATTCTTGGAAGACTAGGTGAGTCCGACATCGACAGGAGGTGGGGGAAGGCTGCCAGGCCCTGAGCGACTAAGGAGCGTGAAAGTGGAAGGAAGTGAAAACTGGACATAGGTGGGGGCTGGAGGTGGTGCGGGATGCAGCCCAGGTGCACCTGTGTCAGGGACACAGCGTTGTGAGGTGAGGCTCCAGAGTTGGGTTGGTCAGGCCATGCCTGGCTTCATAGCCCGTGTTAAGGGTTTTGGACTTCCATGTAAGACTTGAACACCAAGTGGTTGACCATATATTCCATTTTGTTTTTGTGTGTGTGATGGGATTTTGTTGAGCATTTGATGCAGGTAAGTCGGTTCTTGGGGTTTGGTTATCTTTCTGTGGTCTGTATTTCCACGTATATGTGTTGAGTGCTGCACTGGATAGTCAAGCTTACTGTTTAGTGGGGATTCAACAATTTATGAAGCACTGCTCTGGGTCATGTGATAATGCATACTACAGAACAGGACAAGATTATAAATAAATAACATTAGCTTGTGTGCTGGTTAAGACTGAAAACTAGGAATTCAGGAAATGAAAAGTTCAGTGTGAGCTGATTAGTCAAGGAAGGCTTCGTGGAAGAATTTTTAAAAATTTATTTCATTGAATAAGTATTAATAAGCACTATGCCAACTACCACAGTAGGCACAGGAAGCTTAAAAATGAGTAAGTCACACAGTCGTTGGCCTCGGGGTGATGGGTATTTTGTTGTACTGGAATGGGGTCTTCTGGACTATGACAGGCAGGATTTCGTTTCCCATTTTCTCTGCATTGACCTTGCTTCGATCTCTCGCAACAGGATTTTCAGTTTAGGGCCCTGAAGAAGGTGAGAATCTTTGACTCCCCTGAGGAGTTGCCCAAGGAACGTTCGAGTCTGCTTGCCGTGTCCAACAAGTATGGCCTGGTCTTCGCTGGTGGAGCCAGCGGGCTGCAGATTTTCCCTACTAAAAATCTTCTTATTCAGAATAAACCTGGAGACGACCCCAATAAGATCGGTGAGTTATTTGCTCTGTGTTGAGTAGAAGGGGGGGAGTATAGTGGAGTGCTAATCTAGCTCCCTTCCTAAGAAATTCCAGTATTAAAGGGAAACCTCCTGTAGCCCTCAGGTTGGCCCCTGAGGGTAAGTTCTAGGTCAGATGTTGGAAGCCTTGCTGGTTCTTTTTGGTCCGTTATATCTCTTTGTTGATGAGTTGTTCCTTTGAGCTTATGGGAAAGAAGAATTTACCATTCCCCCGTGCATTTCTTTTTGCTCAGTTTTACCTGGGTTCTGCCTGTCTTGGAGAAAGGCTTTGGTACATGGCTTTTTAGTTGGCACAGTTTCATCCCAACAAATGAGATTGTGTGCTGTTTGGAGCATGGTTGCAAAAATATGGGTACAGGTTGCGATTGAAACATTGGTGGGGGAGTTTTTTATGTTGTTGATGTAATTTTGGGAAGCATCTAAGGATCGGGATTGGTTTTCAGTGGAGTGGAACCAACCTTTTGATTAGAGGGTTGGAACTTTCAGTTCCCCCAAACCGCACCCCAGGAGGCTGACTCAAATCACCAATGGCCGGTGATTTAATCAGTTCTGTCGTTGTAATGCAGCCCTCGTAAAACCCCCGAGGAGGGTGGTTTGGAGAGTTTCCAAGTCGGTGAGCACGTGGAGATGCAGGGAGAGCTGCAAGCCTGGACCTGCACTCAGCAAACTACAGGACACTGAAGGACAAAACTGAGGAAGACACAAATAGAAGGAAGCGTATACCATTTTCATGAGTTGAAAGAATTAATGTCATCAAAATGCCCATAGCACCCAAAGTGATCTATAGATTCAATACAACCCCTATTAAAATACCAGTGATGTATTTCACAGATAGAGAACAAACATTTCAAAAATTTATATGGAACCATAAATGACCCGAATAGCCTCAGCAGTTTTGAGAAAGAACAACAAAGTAGGAGGGATCGCAATACTTGATATCAAACTGTATTACAAGGCCACTGTAATCAAAACAGTCTGGTACTGGCATAAGAACAGATGCATAGATCAATGGAACAGAATAGAGAGCCCAGAAATAAACTCATGTCTCTACGGTCAATTAATATTCGACAAAGGGGGCAGGAGCATAAAATGGAGTAAAAATAGCCTCTTCAACAAATGGTGTTGGGAGATCTAGACAGCTACACGCAAAAAAGTGAAACTCAGCCATCAACTTATACCATACACAGAAATAAACTTGAGATGAGTAAAATACTTAAATGTAATAAGTCATGACACCGTAAAAGTCCTGGAGGAGAACATAGGCAGGGAAATCTCAGATAGTGCATGCAGCAATATTTTCACTGATGTGTCTTCTAGAGCAAGCGATGTAGAGGACAGAATAAACAGATGGAACTACATCACATTTAAAAGCTTCTGCACAGCCAAAGAAAACATCAGCAAAATGAAAATGGAACCAACCATATGGGAAAATATTTTTGCCAATGATACCTCGACAAGGTTTGATCTCCGAGATATATAACGAACTGATATGACTCCACACAAGGAAGACAAACAACCCAAGTAAAAAATGGGCAAAGGACTTGAACAGACACTCCTCCAAGGAGGACATACAGAGGACCCGGAGACATATGAAAGGATGCTCAGCATCACTAGCCATCAGAGAGGTGCCAGTGAAAACCACAACAAGATGCCACTTCACAGCGGTCAGAATGGCCGTCACAGACAGACGAACAAACAGCAGGTGCTGGAGAGGCTGTGGAGAACAGGGAGCCCCAGTGCACAGTTGGCGGGAAGGCAGACCGCTGCAGCCGCTAGGGAGAACAGTATGGCATTTCCTCAGGAAATTGGGACTGGAACTCCCTTTTGACCGGGCAGTTCCACTGCTGGGAATATGCCCTAAGAATCCTGAAACACCATTGCAGAAGAGCCCATGCACCCCATTGTTCACAGCAGCACAATGTACAATAGCTAAGTGCTGCAAGCAGTCTTTAAGTGCCCGTCAGTAAATGAATGGATCAAAAAACTGGTGTTTGCACAGTGGAATACTATGTAGCAGAAAGAAGGGGCTCCTACCCTTCACAGCAGCATGGATGGAATTGGAGAGCATTGTGCTAAGGGAAATAAGCCAGGCTATGAAACACAAATACCATATAATCTCAACTATAAGGGGAACCTAATCAATAAAACGAACAAGCAAGCAAAACAGAACCAGAGACATTGATATAAAGAACAAACTGAAATGACGGGGAAGGGGAGAGGGGGATAACAGGGGAAAGAAGGGGAAGGGTCAAGTCCAGGAACATATATAAAGGACCCGTGGATAAAGACAGTGGGAGGGGAGAGGATTGAAAGTAGAAGGTGGGGGGTTGGTGGGGCAGGGGAGAGTAATGGGGGGAAATGGGGACAGCTGTAACTGGATAACAATAAAAAAAAAGTTCCAAGCCTGGAGAGAAAAAGCCTGGAGAAAAGTTGCAGGCGTGGAAGCTCCATGGTGTTCCCCAGACCTTGCCCTGTGTACAGTAGCTCTTCCATCTGGCTGTTCCTGAGTTACATCCTCATAGTAAACCACCGATCTAGTCAGGAACACCCGAGAGGTAATCCAAAACAACTGGAATTATCTCCCAGAGGGCGGGCCCCTTGTAGTACAGGCTTCCCCTGCTAGGTGAGTGTTCTAGGAACCCATCTGTATCTGTACCAGCTGGCGTTGTTGTGAGAGGCTGCATTCAGATTCAGTGAATTTTTCTTGAAGACTCTGTCAACACATTTGCCCATTTCATGATGGGTGATTTACGAGTGCACCTGCCCGCATCAGGCTGAGTGTGCCGCAGTTTTTGACCAAAACCCAGCATGCCCCTGTGTCCCACCCTCCCACGTCATCCCGTCTCGCCCCCAGCAACTTTGTTTTGTTCCCCTGGATGAAAAAAGTGCCCAAAGGGAAATGTTTTGCCGATGTGGAAGAGGTAAAACAAAAAATGGCAGAAGCACTAAAAGGCATTGAAATCAACAAGTTCAAAACTTTTGAACTGGCACTGGAGGGAGGGGATGTGGCAGGCGGAAAACTCGGAAAGAAACGAGCTGTGATCCCGTCCACGGAAAAGGTGCTTTCTTCTAAGGAACTGCAGTTGTGTGGATGCGGGTAGACTTTTTACACTGGGGTGAGTCATTCCAGCATCTTTACCTGCACGTTCGGAGACAGTGGGGCCCATCAGTCCTTTCAGCAGAACCTGCCCAAGGCACTTAACCCTTCGTGGCTCAGGTGCGCCAAGACAAAGAAAATGGCCCAAAGGAAAGAACAGATCAAAGCTCCAGAAAAATACAACTAAGCAATGAAGAGATAGCCAGTCTATCAGATGCACAGTTCAAAGCACTGGTAATCAGGATGTTCACAGAATTGGTTGAATTTGGTTGCAAATTAGATGAAAAAATGAAGGCTACGCTGAGTGAAATAAAGAAAAATGTACAGGGAACCACCAGTGATGGGAAGGAAACTGGGACTCAAATCAAAGGAGTGGACCAAAAGGAAGAAAGACACATCCAGCCAGAAAAGAATGAAGAAACAAGAATTCAAAAAAAAATGAGGAGAGGCTTAGGGACCTCAGGACATCTTTAAATGTTCTAACATCTGAATTATAGGGGTACCAGAAGGAGAAGAGGAAGACCAAGAAATCAAAAACTTATTTGAACAAATAATGAAGGAGAACTTTCCCAATCTGGCAAAGGAAAGAGACTTCTAGGAAGTCCAAGAAGCTCAGAGAGTCCCAAAGAAGTTGGACCCAAGGAGGAACACAGCAAGGCACATCATAACTACATTAGCAAAGATTAAAAATAGGGAGAGAATCTTAAAAGCAGCAGAGAAAAGGAGACAGTTACCTACAAAGAAGTTCCCATGAGACTGTCAGCTGATTTCTCAAAAGAGACCTTGCAGGCAAGAAGGGGCTGGAAAGAAGTATTCCAAGTCATGAAAGGCGAGGACCTGCATCCAAGATTGGTCTATCCAGCAAAGCTTTCATTTAGAATGGGAGGGCAGATAAAGTGCTTCCCAGATAATGTCAAGTTAAAAGAGTTCATCATCACCAAGCCCTTATTTTATGAAATGCTAAAGGGATTTATCTAAGAAAAAGAAGATAAAAAATATGGACAGTAAAATGACAACAAACTCAGTTATTAACAACCACACCTAAAACAAAAACTAAGCAAACAACTAGAACAGGAACAGAATCACAGAAATGGAGATCACATGGAGGGCTATCGAGAGGGGGAGAGAGGGGGAAAGGTACAGAGAATAAGTAGCATAAATGGTAGGTAGAAAATACACATGGGGAGGTTAAGAATAGTATAGGAAATGTAGAAGCCAAAGAACTTATATGTACGACCCATGGACATGAACTAAAGGGGGGGGGATGTGGTTGGGAGGGGGTGTGCAGGCCGGAGGGGAATAAAGGGGAAAATGGGACAACTGTAATCAATAAATCAATAATAAAATATATTATTTAAAAAACTTTCGAACAGTGGAAAAATGTCTGGATAGGTATAGTGCATCAAATGGAGAGTACTTTGAAAATGACTGAAGTTTAAACATGCTAGAATAAATACACAAATTTTTATAAGTCAATTACAGGTTTTTTGGGGGGTGGTACCCCCTCGTACAGTATTTCTCTGAGTTCTTTGAATGGTTCTAGCAAATTAATTGGACCCAAGGAATAATGGGTTGTGGGAAACCTCTGATTTATAGCCCGTTGGTCAGAAGTGCAGGCAACAAGCTGGACTTGCAGTCGGCATTCCGAGTTCGAGGGGCTCGTGGAGACCTCCAGCTGAACCCAGCTGGTCAGCGGCACAGAGACCCTGGGCTCGCGTCTGGGCCTGAAGTGCGGGGGCGGGGGTCAGTCTCGTAGGGCTGACCGCTTGACCTCTGGATCCCGATGCCGTCTCTGGGAAGATAGTGTCAGAACTGGGTTGGATTCTCAGACTCCTGAGAATGCCCCACCCCCGGTGGAATGAAGTCTGGAAACCCCATTTGAAGCACCATTTTCAACAAAGGGGACTGCCAGTCAGTCTCCCCAGTCGTGCACAGAAGAACTGCAGCCCAAGTGCGCCATTACACATGTGTCAGGGCCCGTTCCCGTGTTTGTGGAGATGCAAAGACTGTTTCCCGTAGACTGGGTGAGGGCTTGTGACGTATGCTTAGAACATTCCATCTTCTGCCTTTCTTTTTTTTTTACATGTTTACAGTTGATAAAGTCCAGGGCTTGCTGGTTCCTATGAAGTTCCCCATCCGTCACCTCGCCCTGAGCTGTGACAACCTCACACTCTCCGTGTGCATGATGTCCGGTGAATACGGTTCCGTCATCGCTTTTTTCGATGTTCGCACGTTCTCGAACGAGGTAAGCTACCAGCCACCTCCGATGTCGACATGGGGCCTAGGGGTTCCTGGTATCTGTATTCAAATTCGGATTTTAAAATGTTCTCAATTATAGAACCATCAATCCTTGAGGTAGAAGGGACTTCCAAGAAGTTATTTCATGATAGCGCCCCTCTATGGTATTATCATTTCTCACGTACATGTGAGACAGCGAGCGCCTAGGGAGCTTCAGGTGACTTGCCCAAGACCGCAGAGCTAGTGGGTCATGTCCAAAGTGACGACACCCCGGGTCTCCGGCGTCCTCGTGGGGTGCCTCCCACTCCTGCAGGAGTGTCAGTAATGACACAGCGGTCCGTAGCAGCGTCCCCGCTGACTGCCAGGCCCCGTGCTAGTGCCCAGTGTGCCTCATCCCCACCCGTGCCCGCCAGGGCCCTGCCCGGGGGGGCTGCCACCTGCACTGTGCAGATGGAGGCACCGGCCCAGGGCATTTGCGCACGCCTGTCCCAGGGCCCAGTGCTGCTGAGAAGCAGAGCCCAGACTTGAATCCAGCGTGTGCTCTTCATCGGTCATCCTGCATTTGTGTGTCTCCTCCTGGGAGGCCCTCCAGTGTGCCAGGATCACTGATTGCCCCTTTCAGAGTTGTGTAACAAAGGGGTTGTTGTGTAGAGCTAATTTTTTTTCCATGTTCATGGAGAAAAGTGAACCACATTTTTTTTTTAATGATTTGAGAGAGAGAGAGAGAGAGAGAGAGAGAGAGAGAGAGAGGGAGGGAGAAACATTAATTTGTCGTTCCACTTTTCCAAGCATTCATTGGTTGGCGCTTGTATGTGCCCTGGCCGGGGAGCAAGCCTGCAGTCTTGGTGTAGCGGAATGATGCTGTAACCAGTTGAACGAGCCGGCCAGGGCGTGACCTGAAACTTGAGAGTCCTTCAATATTCAGTCATTTCTTCCCCCTGTGAAGTATCTATGCACTAATTCATTTCTTTTTGTTTCTGGCCGTTTGTTTTATAAGGCCAAGCAGCAGAAACGCCCATTTGCCTATCATAAGCTTTCGAAAGATGCAGGCGGCATGGTGATCGACATGAAGTGGAACCCCGCTGTCCCCTCCATGGTGGCCGTGTGTCTGGCAGACGGCAGCATCGCTGTCCTGCAAGTCACCGAAACAGTGAAAGTGTGTGCGACGCTTCCCTCCACGGTAGCGGTGACGTCTGGTGGGTGCGAAAGGCTTTTCCTCTGTGGCGTACATTAATGCTAATCTCCCTGAAAATTAATTTCTGGAAATAGGAGCAAATGTTGTATTTGTGATTATTTGGTAGAAGTGGAGAGAGAGTTCTTTATTTCCATAGTTCATATCCTTGAAACCGAACAGCACACGCGATTTCATCTGAGTGTGCGCGGGTTTTCTGGAGGAAGAAATCTTTTGGTTCAGCTGGTTAAGAACTGTGTTTTTGAGGAGAATTGTTTCTGGGTCTAAAACAGTGGTGCTCTGTAAGTCACCTGTGCTTTCAGGGGAAAGGCATCAGAAACTTCAGACGGGGCAAGACAGTGATTTCTTGGTGTTTGAAAGTTTTGCATGCTTCCAGCTTTCTGGGACATGCTCCATGGAAAAGCATTTTTACCGTCGATTCAGTCGCCCGGTGAGGAATCACGATCAGCTGTGTCCTCAGAGCGACTTTCATCCTTTCTTACTGTGCCGAAGGGTGACCTTTGAACTGGGAGGACGAGGGCTGGTGTTCCGATCTGTAGTAGTGTCCCCACTGCTAAGCACAGCCGGTGGTGACCAGGCGCCGACTCGGTGCGCCTCCCGCGGTTCCCCCCTCCCCCCACAGTCTTTCACCGATGGCTCTCTCTTCTTTGCTCAGTGTGCTGGAGCCCCAAAGGGAAGCAGCTGGCCGTGGGGAAGCAGAACGGGACCGTGGTCCAGTATCTCCCCGTAAGTCTTGCCTTGGGTTTCAGATCTGTTCCCACAGGAGCCACCCACTGGTGTGAGGGTGGTGCGGGGACATCGCTGCTGTGCTTTTCTGTTAAAATGTCATCTATGCTCATTGCAGCAAATTCTTCAGTACACCAGTGGGTGCAGGAAAGAGGGGAGCCCCTCTTCCATTCCATCCCCCGTGCGTGTTCTGGGCCCCCTCTGCTCTGGAGGCGCATACACATAGACTTGGTGTGCATGCAGCACTTTGGTTTTGCTTTTTTTTTTTTAACATGATTTTTTAAAAAAATATTTATTTATTTTTAGATAGGGGAGAAAGGAGGGAGAAAGAGAGGGAAAGAAATATTGATGTGTGGTTGCATCTTGCATGCCCCCCCAACTGGGGACCCGGCCCGCAACCCGGCATGTGTCCTGACCGGGAATAGAACCGATGACCCCTTGGTTCAGAAGCTGGCACCCAGTCCACTGAGCCACACCAGACATGACTTGTTTTGCTTTTTAAATAAAATGTTACCATTTTCTACGCACGGTTCCTCAACCTTATATCCTCAACCCATTCCATAAAAACAGAGGTTGAGGGGGAAAGGAGTAGGTGAAGGCCTGTTACCATAATGCAGAATCACTTCGGGTAGAGCAGTGTTCGGCCTCTGCCTGGGTCCGTCGTCAAGGTTATGTTTCTGTCACTCCCGGCGACAGAGCCAGTGGATGCTCACGTTGTGGCGCGTGCACTGTGCCATCCTGTGCCCGTGGTTTCCTGGCATACTCACAGAAAGTCCGTGGGTCTGGTCAAGCCTGGGGGGTGGGGGCAGGGGGAGGGGTTCACAGGCGACGCCCGGGCCTGTGCTGCTGCTTGTAGCTCCTGGAAAGACTGTGCTCTGCGGGGGTGCAAGGCAGTGAGTGTGGTGGTGTGGGCTTGAGGTTAGGGTTTGTTACTTGTTATCGCAAAAAGTTATGTGAAGTTTGGTCCATATTCTAGGGTATTAGCTTGTAAAATAATACAATGGGTTTAGTTTTATTGGTTTGCTGTTTGCCTTTTTAAAAAAAACGTAGCAGTATATTAGAGTCCTTCTTCCAACTTCCATATATAGAGCCACTTAATTGTTTTGAATGGCTCCGTGGTAGTGCAGTGCACGGCTGTGCCGTAAGTTGTCCCTTATTCCGTCATTGATGGTTGCCTGTCGGTGGGAGTGGTTTTGCTGCTGTAAATGGGGCTGCACTGAGCGTCCCCATTACCTACGTCTGAACATGCTGGTGTGTTTCTGTGGGACAGCACCCCGGAAGCAGGCGCCCCCCCCCTTCCCCGTGGTCAGGCTGTCCTCGCTGGGGCGGGGAAACTTAGGTGGCTTCCGGGGGGACACACTGGGTTTGACAGTTTCATTGGCTTGGGGACTGTTTCGTGTGACACCTTTTTCTTTTTTCAAATCTCTTTCAGACGTTGCAGGAAAAAAAAGTCATTCCTTGTCCTCCGTTCTATGAGTCAGATCACCCGGTCCGAGGTAACACACCGTTTTTCTGTGGGGCAGACCTTCCGTAAGGTGCCGTCTGTGTTACAGAGGTTTCGATGGTGCGATGCGCCTGCACCCCTGCTCAGGGGCGTGCTGTCACCCCTCTGGGAGCACACCCACTGTCAGTCGGTGGTGCGGTCAGCGTGACGGCCATCTGGTGGACAGCTGTGTCTCGTGGCAGCTGGCGTTAACTGGATCCTGTTTTTTTTTTTTTTTTTTTTTTTCATTAGAATTCTTCATAACGTCCCCTGATTATAATCCACCCCGGGGGGAAAAATGCCACTTCGGGATAAATTTGGCCTTGTGATCAGTGAAATCCGGACCTTGGTCAAAGCTGTAGCAGTTGGGTTTTTATCCCTAAGATGTTAGTTTCGTGGCACACGGGCTGTCCCAAGCTAGGTGCTCATTTCGGGCGTGTGTCTTTCAGTCCTGGACGTGCTGTGGATCGGTACCTACGTCTTCACGATCGTGTACGCCGCCGCGGACGGGTCCTTGGAAACGTCTCCCGACGTGGTGATGGCGCTGCTGCCGGTGGGTGTACGAAAAGGGCGTCTTCGTGCTTCGAGAATTAGCAGAGTCTCCCAATGAAGTTTGCAGCTCAGGCCTCCCTTCCCTGTTCTGGTGGCGATGGCGCACCTTTAGGTGCACGGTTGCAAAACCACACCGTCGGCCGGGGACCAAACTTACGCTGCCGACCCGGGCGACACCCGCTCGCCTGGTGTGCAGCAGAGCCACACGCTGCACCTGGACGTTCGCAGCGGAGGAGTTAAAGCTGTTTTATTTGTCGGGCGCCTGCAAGGAGAGTGGGAAGCTACTGCTTAAAACCCGAACTCCCCAATGGCTTTCTTAGGGGTTTTTAAAGGCAGAGATTGAGGGTTAGGGGGGCAGAAGGGCCGGCCGTGCAGTTTCGGTTGAGATCCTTGGCCCTCGGCCGCTGTGATGAGATTTGTAGGGGCTTCGGCACCAGCCTTCCCGCACCACGGAGCCTTCGCTTCTGAGAGGGCTCTGGTCTTCGAGCTCTGGTGTGTTTCGGTCTTCTGGTTCCCTGAGGAGGGTGACGCTTGGGCTCCAGCTGCAGCCGGAGGGGTGCTCCTCCTCTGCACGTGTCTCGGCTGCAGGGCTGCGGCGTCGGTCCCTTGTCTGTGCAGAGTGACTTCGGACCTTGTCAGGACGGGGCCGTCCTGAGCCAGTTCCGCAGCTACAGCACGGCCTCCGCCTGGGGCCTGTCTCACTGTAACCAGTCATAAGTGAAAAAACTGGAGAACTTGCTTTTGCTTAAGCTGTAAACTGAGTCTTGGTGATGTTAACCTGCAAAGGCATTTTAGAAAAGCAGGAGAATACCTTGATTTTTAAAATGCTTCCCCTTATTTATTCATCAGCTGTATATCAAATGCCTGCAATGTGTTAGGCGCTGCGTTGAAGCCAAGCATACAGCATTCTTGCTTTTGCTGGTCTCACGTTCTCATGAATGCGCCAGCCCAGAGCCGAGCGCGGGGTCACGGAGGGTGAGGGTGACGGGCAATAAAGCGGGGCCCGGGGAGGGGCGAGTGGTGACCGGGGCAGCTGCGGTGGGTCGGAGAAGGGCTCCGGGGGGAGCCGTGCGAGCCAGGACCGAGGGGGAGGGGGGCAGCCGGTGTCGGCTCCGAGAAGGACGGCAGTGTCTGCAGAGACTTGCTGACGTGCGGCGGCATTTAAAAACAGCAAGCGAGGGGACGTACTTCCAGAAAATGCTTTCAGAGTCCAGAAAACAACTGACAATACATACATAAATGTCTAAGCACCACAGAAGTGGGAGTTAAACTTGTCCTTCTGTGTTGCAACCTTATTTTACCTGGTAGTAAATTGCAAGCATCTTTCTGTATTGCTTAAAATCTGATTTGCTTTGAACAGATTTATTTGGCTCCGTTTTTAACCCTGATGGGTTCCTGATGCTGTGACTTTTTACGTGTTGACAGTCACGCGCCGCTTCAGTGCAGGTCTGGTCTGAGAAGGGCCACACCACGCGCCACCGACCTGGACTGGGCACTCGTGCAAGCCCACGTGACCCAGCCACCCCCCCCCCCACACCCAGCCCCTGCGGTCGAGCCCGTCTCGCTGCAGGGAGGAGAAGTCGTTTTCCCTCGGCTCCTAGGTGCTTTTGGCTGAGACGCCCCTGTCACACATGCCTAGGAGAAAAACAAAAATGTAATAACATGTTTACCTCCTGTATTCGTGGAAAACAGTAATTGCCTGAAAGGGCTGAGTCCACCTCCTTAAATACCGTGTTCAGCTGAGGGCACAGGAACATGGTGGGGGGGGCCAGGGGAGTCAGTCTGGGAGGTGGCCAGGGACAGGACAAGGCTGTCAGGCAGATTTGCGGGCCGTCGTCTGTGTTGGCGAGAGGCCCTAGAGAGGAGGTTGTGCCTTCCTTCCTGCGAGGGAAACACCCTTGAGTGGAAATTTCCCTTGTAAATGTTTTACAAAGGCAACTTCTGCTTGGTTTTCAGAGCGTCTTCATGTCTGCTCTTTCTCAAAAGTAAGGCTTAAAATAATCCTATGCCAAGTAGACGTTTTCAGGCGACAGGTGCTGTTCCCCTGCGGCCCCGGGTCACAACCCCGTGCCGCGTGTCCCCGTACGGAACACGTTTGTGTGCGGTGTGCTCTGCAGCTTTACGACGGCCAAGATGTTTGGCCGCCACGGCGCTAGCCAAGAGGAATTTCTCGGCTTCATTGTAATCTTAGGGAGTCACAGTCATGTGTGTGGTCTGTTGACCGAAATGGGCCAAAATGTCACCGTGCAGCTCAGGAATGCGGTGAGTGTGTTCCTGTCCAAAATCCCGCGGAGGTTTTCTGTTCCTGGGATGACGCGAACTCCGGCAGGGGTTCACCTGGGGACCGACGTTCCCAGTCTGTGCTGGAAGCTTTGTGTTATCACTTCGTTTCACGCCTCCAGCAACCTCGGGGGTCGTTCTGGTAGACGTGTTGTCACACGGGTGAGGAAGGTGAGCGGAGGGCCGAGCACTCCACACACCCTCGTCCGTCCGGGCAGACAGTTCGAACGCAGTCGGGTCGGCGGCCGCCGCTCCTGCTCCCGACACGCCTCGGGGCCGCCTCCCCGCCGTGCCTGTCCACCTGGACGTAGATTTCCGAGCGACTTTTCTTGTGAAACTTAAATGGTTCCAATGGTTTAATGATCGTTGAAGATCATTAACTGCATAGGGGTAAAGACAAGCCGCACCTGAGGCTTTTCCCTCGTTCCGTTCGTTGCAGAAAAAGGAGGAAAAGCACCCCGAGGTGTTCGTGAACTTCATGGAGCCCTGCTACGGCTGCTGCACGGAGAGGCAGCACCACTACTATCTGAGCTACGTCGAGGAATGGTGAGTGGGGCCGGGGCGGCGCATCTGCTCTCGGGCCTTTCCTGGGAGAGGAGAGCAGGGCAGAGGCGCCGAGAACGTGTTTTCAGCGGGGGCTAGGTAATGCCTTCCGGCTGCGCCTTCAGTTCCCCGGCCTGGAGTCAGGTGGCTTTTTAAGGGACATAAAGGGATTTAAGGGACATAATAAAAGTCTCCCTCTGAGAGCAGGAGTTGCGCTCTGACAGGTGACTGGGCGCAAAGCTCCTGTCCCTCCGACAGGACCATCCTGGTGGTGGGATGCCGCGCAGTGTACTGGGAACTCCGACTTGAGTCGCCTGTGTCTCTCCTGCGCTTCAGCTATCGGGCCGGTGACGCGGTGTCCAGGGCTTTTTACATCTGAAAGCCTCCTCGCTGTTCTGGCTGCCGTGGCTCAGTGGACTGAGTGCCGGCCTGCGATCCAAAGGGTCGCCGGTTCGGTTCCCAGTCGGGGCACATGCCTGGGTTTCAGGCCGCATTCCCCAGTAGGGAGCGTGTTGAGAGGTAACCACACATTGATGTTTCCCTCCCTTCTCCTCTCTGAAAATAAAGGAATAAAACCTTTAAAAAAATTTTAAAAATAAAAGTCTTCCTACCTCTCTTCAGCCCCACAGGAAACTCACCTCCTTGACGCCTCCGGGCAGCTCTCGCAGACAACCCCGCAGACTCGGGGCGGGCCGGGCCGGGGCTGTGGGACCTAACGGCCTTCCGGCTTGTTCTTTGCAGGGATCTGGTGCTGGCGGCGTCTGCGGCCTCCACAGAAGTCAGCATCCTCGCTCGACAGGGCGATCAGGTACGTTCCTCCCTTCTGTCACTTCTGGGGGCCGCTTTCCTGAGACATTGGGGGGAGGTTAGCCCTGGGGTCAGGACTTAGATGAGGTCACATCCTTCTGACGAGTCGCTGGGTCAGAGCAGAGCTAGAGTGACGTAGCGTCTTGGACTGGCGGCCGGGGTGCTGTGCTGTACGAGCTCAGGTGTCAGAATTCGCGGTTCTTCGGTGTCGTGAAAAGCACTTCTGTTCTCCTGGGGGCCCCCATGGTACGGGGGTCCGACTCTGTGTCACCGACCTGCAGCGGGAGCATGCCTGGGCGCGCGGGGGGCTGTCCCTGCCTCGCTCTGTCCGATCGTCCTCGTCTTGATTCCGTGAACAGTGACCCACCCTCAGTAACTGGAGAGGAGCACACGGGTCACACCAAACTGTTGCTCACCAGAAACACTTCCTGTTTCTCTCCGAAAGACCGCCAGAAAGCTGGGGTGCCTGTGCGCAGGAGAACCTACCTGCCTCCTTTCACGGGGTCCTCCTGGCGGGCAGGAGGTGGGCTGAGCTGGCGGTGGCTCGCCTCCTAAACCGCGCTCGGTCACGGCGAGTGACAGAGGGGACACAGCGAAGGGGAGGCTCTTCGTTCGCACACTTTGCCTTGATCTCAAAGACGTTTTGTGCACGCGTGCTGGTGGCTCCTCGCCCGTGCAGCGCTCGTCCGTCACTGGGTGGCAGGGCCCTCCCTGGAAGTGCTCGGCTGGCGCAGTATTGGCGGGGGGGCGGGGGGCACTTTGGGGTCGTGGGTCAGAGCTCAGCAGTCCAGTTTGCTCTCGGATTGACTTCAGTAACGATTTTCTGATAGACTCATATTTTATGTGTTTATACATTAAAGATATACCATTATCTTCGCTTTTTATCAAAATAATGTATGTACTTGGAGCAGGGATCATGAATGAAAAAAATCACTGCAGCTGCACCGTGTCCCGATCCAGTTTTGTTCCCTACAGGGACCGTTTTTAACCTGTCAGTTTTTTCTTCTAATGGCTGTGTCCTTATCCTTAAAAAAAAAAAACTTGCCTCCTCAAAAATGACCAGCCGTGCTGGCAGATGAGCAGTTCGCTCACACGCTCCCTCCTCCCCACTGGGGCTGCGGGGCTGCGTTAGTGTCTTCTGGGGTCGCCTTGGTGACTTGCAATTTTACCTTCATTCCTGATGGCGTCACCGCACACTCCACTCCTTAATCTTCCGCTTTGGGAGAGGGGCATCTCAGCGCCCCACCACCCTCAGCCGCCCTCCCCTGCCCACCACCCAGCTCGTCTTACATGTTGTCAGAACTGGTGCTGCTCGCACTGTGTCCTGTGGCGGCTGACGAAGACTTTATTTTGTCTGGAGACAGCTGTTCAGGGCCGAAGTCCGTTTGCTTACATTATTCCGAACGTGACTGTTACTCACGCCACTGCTTAGGCGTGGAGTGTGGTTATGTCACCCCCCGGAACGGCTTCTCGGGTCCCTCTCTTCCTCACGGAGTGTGTTCCCCTTGGGTTCATGCTGCACAGCTTGGGTCAGTGCTGAAGGTTAGAAAAAGTGTTGGTAGTCCTTAAAACTCGGAAATCACTTGCCGAAGGAACAGAGCCCCTGCAAGCAAACGAAGCAGAAGGAGAGTGTGTTGGGGGAGGCTTAGTGGCTTGTCAGAGGCAGGCAGGTGGGCCCACGCGGGGCACTCACACCAGGACCGGGGCAGGCGAGAACGAGGTCACCTTCTTCCGTGGACCAGTGAGCACAGGCTGCTGCCCAGCTTTGTCTCTGCTCAAGACCCCTGCAGGGACCGCTGGGGGCCCTGGTCCCAACCCCAGGCCTCCCAGAGCAGGGGTGCCGGGCTGAGTGCCGCTGTGGGGTCTGCCCCGCAAGTTCAGGGCTCCCCCTGGTTGCGGTGGGCGGTGGGTAGTGTTTACACATGAGGCAGGGACCTGCTGGATTGGGAAAATCAGCCCCTTGTCTCATGGGGTGCTCGTGGCCTTTAGACGGTCTCCCCAGGTTGCCGAGTCCCCAGGTTGTCCACATGCAAGTCTGACCCAGGCGGCTGTCTCTTTTCCTCGCTCACGTGTGAACAGTGCTGGGAGGCGCCCGTGCAGAGCTCTGACGTGGTGTTTTCTCCCCCTCTTTTCCCAGATCAATTGGGAATCTTGGCTGCTGGAGGATTCCAGTCGAGCTGAACTGCCTGTGACGGACAAGAACGATGACTCCTTGCCCGTGGGAGTGGCCATAGACTACACCAACCAAGTGGAAGTCACCATCAGTGAGTGAGGCCCGCTGGGGCTCAGCGCTCTGTCCCTCACATTTCCGTCCAGTCCTGCGTGCCCGCGATGGCAGTCCCCTCTGCTGGCACTTGACCTTCTGGTAGCACGTTGCTTCTCGAAGAGCGACGTAGAGTGCGGTGACGGCACTGGACTGGTTTGCAGACACTGAGGGGTGAGACCGAGGCCACTCTTTCGGACGTGGTGGGGGTCCAGGACATCGGGGGTTCTCGGTGCTGTCTCTCGGCCCTCTCGGGCCCCCAGTGCCTCCCCGAGGGAGCAGTGCCCTGGGCCGGCACCGCAGCGGACAGCCACTCTGGCTTCGGAGGCTTGGGCTGGAAAGAGAGACCCCGGGCGCATGGCTCCTGCACGGGGCCCGAGCGTGTGCTGTGCACGGAGCTCCCCTGGGCGGCGCTGGGCCCGTGGAATGTGCAGGTGCAGCGGGAGACACGCTCGTGAGGCTTCCGTGGTGGGTGTCCCGCCAGGCACCGCTCCGCACCTCGACCCCTCCCGGGTCAGGTTGTGTGGTCTGAGACCGGCTCTCGTGCTCGGACTCTCTGGAAGTCCGTGCTTGTGAGGCCCCTGTGGACGAACGTGAAGCAGTTAGACTCAGCTGTCTGTCCTGCTGTGTGCTTTCTGGAGAGTCCCGTGCGCCATTTCTCAGCTGCACCAGCCACGTCCTAGACGCCTGTCCTGGTCAGGGGAGGGCTGCCCCTGCCTCCCGAACACCAAGACGCTCCTGAAAACTGAGGGAGCCTCGGAGCTGCCCCCCCCGCCCCTTCGGGCTGCCAGCGCCTCCGGGCGGCCACCGGACCGCAGCAGGAGCGCTCTGGAAGGAGCGGTCGCGGGAGGGCCCTTTGGGATCAGAACCAGAGCGGACGGACGGGGCCTCTGAGCCCCTCCTCGCTCCGGGCAGCCTTTCGGACTTCGCTCTTTTCTCACTTCGCTTTCTTTTTTTTTCCCGCAGACGAGGAGAAGACTCTTCCCCCTGCTCCAGTCCTCATGTTACTCTCAACCGATGGGGTGCTCTGTCCGTTTTACATGATCAATCAAAACCCTGGGGTTAGGTCCCTCATCAGGACGCCGGAGCGGCTCTCGTTAGAGGGGGAGCGACAGCCCAAGTCGTCAGGTACGTGTCTCCGACCCTGGCAGCGAGCGAGCACGCAGGTGGTCGCCGTCATCTGCACAGTCTGTGTGGCTGCGTCGGGGGCGGGGTGGGGGGGGTTACCTGGAACAAGCGCGTGTGCACTGGCCGTCCTCACTCACCGGTTCTGTCCTCCGGCCTTCGCTCCGCTCCGCTCCGCTCCAGGGAGAGAGGAGGCCGAGCCGCACGGCCCCGTCCCGTAGTTGCCAGCAGCCCTGCTGTCGGGTCCGGGTCCTGCACGCTGGGCCGCGAGGGGCTGGTTCCGTGAGCGAGGGTGCGTGAGCGCCGTGCGCCCGTTACAGGCGGTATGTGCGCCCCGGGGGTTAGAGGAGCGCACCCGCGAGGCGCTGTGTGCCGTGCGGTCCCTTCTCTACGAGGAGAGCGTGTGCGTAGGAAAATACCTGAAAGGCGGATTTTAAAACCCAAATAGTTGGGTTATTTCTGGGGGTGGGTGGGCATTCTATTTTCTTTTGTCTGTGTTTCATTTTCTTCAGGTTTGGTTTCTTCCTGCTCTTTAAGTTATTACATCCATGGTCTGTTTATCAGAGAAAGATTAGAGAAGACACAAGCAGTGTCCCTTATGAGCGTGTCACCCGCACACAGCCCCGGTCAGCCCCTCGGTGGTGCCTGTTCGTCGTGTGCGTGAGCGCGCACACACGCATGCCCGTGTGCATTTCAGACTTTTGACAGTGTTCTCCTGTCACCTCTGAGAGCACAGTATAAAACTTTTCAAAGGGGAGGTTGTTTCATATTTTGAAATTTCACTAATACTTCACTTTGAGTTCTGTGAGTATATAACTATTAACAGTTTATCCCCTAGTGTGGCTGGAAATGCTTATAGTGTAACCAGTTCTATGTCTAAGGAAAAGTACGTTGACCGTTGGGTTGGGTGAGGTCGCAAACATTCCGCGTGTGTTTTCTCCCGGCTTCCTGAAGCAGAGTGAGGAGTGCACCGTCAGTGGCCAGGCCCTTAGGCTCCGGCCGTTGGCAGAGCCACCCCGAGTGCCCGGACTGGGTGGCTCGCGCGGACGTGAGCAGCTAGTGCTGTGTTGGGACGCCTCTCGGTCTGCGGCGTGTGTGCTCCGGGCTGGTTTTCCCCGGCGGTGGTCGCGAGTGCCGTGCACTACCTACACCCCCTTGCCCGGTCGGCCAGTAACGCGCAGTGCCCCCCTCGAGGGCGGGAACTTGTGGGGTGTTTGTTTCTGAACACCGTTCAGTGTGAAGGGCTTTGCTGCCAGCCCGGAAAGCCCCAGCACAAGCAGGGGCCAGTGCCACCGCCAGCCTGCCCTGGAGAGAAGCCCTCTTCCCCACGCTGGGCCCAGAGGTGGCCGCCACGCTCAGGTGCGTGGGAGAGAGCCACGGACGGGAGGAGGGGCCCCGCCGCCTCCCGCTGCAGCCCGTTGTGGGTTCGGAAGACGCTGGTGGTTCCTCCTGCCCCACGGATGCGGCTCCGAGTGGTCAGAGGGGGCAGCGTGATGGTTTTTCCAGTGGGACACACTCTTCACTCCGTCTCCCGAATGTGCGTGGGCGTGATGAACGTCACGGGCGTGTGTGCTGCTGGTTCCCTGTCACTGTGTAGGAGAAGTGCCGACAGAGCAGATCCGCTCGGTTGTCATGCGCGTGGAAGGGACAGTTCAGGAAGCGGTGTCCCCGCGCTTGTACCCTCAGTGTTTCGTCACCGTAGGCGCAGTGAGGTAAGCTGTCGTCTCAGCAGTCGGAGGAACCGAGACCCACTAATATAAACGTATTGATAAAAAGACATTGCTTTCTTAGTTATTTAATTTAGAGAATTAACGTGTTTACTTTATAGCAAGTGTGGAAAGTGGAAACAACTTTAAACCTGCTTTTTGGGGTATTCTCGTTCACTTTTTTTTTTCTCATAAACATCTTCATAGTTGTATCCCTATTCTCTGTATCACTGGTTGCAGGTTTATAATTTAAATTGTAAGGACTTCCCAGATTCTTACATGATCTCCATGATTCATTTAAAAGAGTGACTGTTTAACATTCCATTGAACACTTTTTACCATTTGGGTTGCATGAAATATCTTTCACTCTTAAAAATTATTTTCACAGGTCTTATTCTTACAAGTTTACTGGGTCTGTTTTTTTAGGATTCTTGAGATATCCTAAAATGTTTTTTTTAAGACTGCTGAAGTAGGTGCCTATTAGCAATCAAAGGTTTCAGGCTCATTTCGCCCATCCAAGTGCAGGAGATAGTAGATATTTACATCTTGGTAGTCTGGAGGGCAGTGCTGTGCCTCCCTTAAAGTTACGTTTCTTGTATTAGATTAAATATACTTGCTTTTTGTAAGTTAGTTTCCCCGCTTATATCCATTAGAGTCTTGAAATTTTTAATCTCGATTTATATGTTCTTTACTGCAGTTTTTTTTTTTCACTTACCTTTTAGTTATGTAACTTTTATATAGTCAGATGTTAATCTTTTCCTTTCATAACTTATTTTGTCATGCCTGAATTGATTTGTTAGACTCTCGAAGACTTAGCTCGCTCTTGCCTCCTTGTGTTGAGACACAGCCCGTGTGTACTTTTATCCGTACCTCCAGTCCATCCGAACTTGCGTTCAGAGGCTGTCAGGAATCAGAGCGCCGAGTTAAACCTTCTGATGGAACAAAGGGTTGCAGAGTGACTGCTTTCCACTGCGACCTTGAGAAACATGTCTTCTCCGTGTGGTTCATCTGGGCTTCCACACGGTGCTGTCAGTCTGAGGTCCTTCCCCGTGTCTGCCCCCCTCCCAATCCTGCAGTCTCACGCGGCGCGTCTGCCTGCCGCGGGGCGTGCGCAGCAGCTCCTCGGCCTCGCCTCTCTGTCCCTCAGGAGCCGGGCCCTTCCTCTCCGGCCCCCTCCTGCCCCAGCCCTTCCCCGGCCCCCGGCCTTCTGCTGTGGCCGGGCTGACTCCCCCACTCTCTCACTGCAGGAAGCACGCCCACGACCCCAACCTCGCCGGCCCCGCAGAAGCCCGAGTTGTCGGCAGCTACGGCCCCCGTGTCCGTCCCGCCTTCCCTGCCGGCGGCCCCCACCTCCACCTTCTCCTTGCCCTCTGCTGTGGGGGCCCCTGGCGTGTTCTCCTTTGGTTCTTCACCGTCCTTGAAGTCGTCTGGGCCTGTCACCGCGGAGCCCCCTCCGTACCCCAGCAGCTCCGACGCCTCCAAGGCAGCCGTGGGCTCCGGCACGGCCTCCTTCTCGTTCGCGCCTCCTCAGGCCCCGCTGGCGCCCGCCCCCACGGCCCCCGCCATGGCACCCCTGGCCGCCCCGTTCTCCTTCGGCTCATCGGGCTTCAAGCCGACCCTGGAAAGCACACCGGTGCCGAGCGCGTCCACTCCAGGCGTGGGAATGAAGCCCTCCTTCCCGCCTTCAGCCTCTGCAGTCAAGGTCAACCTTAACGAAAAGTGAGTGGCCCAGGGGGGTGGGGGGGGCGGGCGACGGAGCAGATGGACTGCTGCTGTCACTGGGGGGCGGGCGGGGGGGCGACGGAGCAGATGGACTGCTGCTCTCACTGGTGTTTGCACTTTCTCCAAAGCAGCGCAGGCACATGGTGGGAACCCAGACTGCGCAGAAGGTTTGCGGCTGATCAGTGGGCGGCGTCCAGGAGGGTCACTTCGAATTTTTTTTCTTATTAGAGGTTTATATGTAAATACTTGTTTGCCTTCCAGTGTAGGAGATATTCCCTGTTTTTAAAAGCGAAGCCGTGCTGAGTCCACACCCTGTAGGGGAAGCGCACCTCTCGCCGTCCTGTTCCCTGGTCGGCCACCCTTGACCCCTGGCCACCCTTGACCACCCCCCCACCCCCTGGCCACCCGGGGTCGCAGGAACGCGTTACTGCGTCAGCTTGACGTTCCCGCCTGGCGGTCCAGGGCGTCTCATTGCTCCCGAGCGCAGGGGTCTGGCCCCACCCCCCCAGCGGGGTCCTCCCGGCTGCCCCGAGCCTCACTCTTGACCGGTCCTGCTCGTGCGGCCCCCGCCCCGCGTGGCCCTTCCTAGCATGGCCCTCGCGTGCGAGCGCTGCTGCCACCCCTCCTCCGGCCTCTGTCATCGCTGTGGAGGCGGTGCTAGCTGTGCTTCCCCGCTGTCACCATTGTCGCTGTTGACGCTGATTGTCAACGCAGCCACTGCATTCTAATAGTTGCCTGGTGTTCCGTTTTGTGGCTGCGTTACAATTCATTTTCCCAGTCATCTAATGCTGGGCGTTTACGCTGTTTACGGATGTTTGCTCTTCAGGTGAAACTTACCTGACATCCCCCCTGGCCTGTAAGCATCCCAAAGAGGGCGACCTGTTTCCTCGTCCTCCTGCGCCCCTCGGAGGAAGGGACCGCCGGAAACGAGCTCTGAGTGATTTTGTGGGCAAAAAGAGAGTGTGTAATCGAGTCCCACCCTCTGTTGTACTCATCTTGGTAGACTGGACAACAGGCATTTTGTATCATGATAAACTTAGTTTCACTTTTATACTATTTACTTAATATTTTCATTGGGTAATCTGTTTCTAAAGAAGTGGAAGATCTGATCAATGTTTTTTTTTCTAAAGATTTTACTTATTTTTAGAGAGAGGGGAAGGGAGGGAGAAAGAGAGGGAGAGAAACATCAGTGTCTGGTTGCCTCTTGCGCGCCCCCTACTGGGGACCTGGCCCACACCCCAGGCATGTGCCCTGACTGGGAATCAAACCAGTGATCCTTTGGCTTGCAGGTCGGCACTCATTCCACTGAGCCACACCAGCCAGGGCCAGATTGATGTTTTCCTGCAGTTTTCACCGTTCATAAGAAATAGCTAAATGTGTGCATTTCTCGAAGGCCGGAAAGGGTGGGCAGTGAGTTGCCCTGCGATGACCGTGCTCTGACCAGCGTGCAGGAACCTGCAGCGGGCCCTCCTGACGCCTCCGCTCTGCTGTTGCAGGTTTACCGCCGCGGCCGCCCCCGCCAGCAGCTCCCCGGGCACGCCCCCGACGCTGCTGTTCCCCACCTCCAAGCCGGCTGCCCCTGGACCTCTCAGCCACCCCACGCCCCTGGCGGCAACACCGCTCGGCGCCTTGGCCTCGAAGCCCCCGGCCGCTCCCTCGGCGTCAGGTGTGGTTTCAAGCAGACTGCTTCAGAGCTCAGCCCTGAGTTCTCGGACTCCCTTGTGTTGCTTCTAAAGTCTCACCCCGGGACTTTTTAAAGTCAGTTCATTCTAGAGAGAGAGTAACATCCGTGTGAGTGACAAACACGGATGGTGGTCTCCTGTACACGCCCTGCCTGGGGGGTGGACCTTCCGGTGCCCGGGACAGTGTTCCCACCAACTGAGCCACCTGGTCGGGGCAGGTGTTTAGTTTTTTTGTTTTTTTGTTTGTTTGTTTTCCAAAAAAGCCCCCCAGGTGATTCCAGTACACGAGAAGTTGAGGCCTCCGGGGGGGGGGGTCCAAAGACCCCGTGAGTTCTCACAAGGTGACGGGGATCATAGTCCTCACTTTATGGTTTTCAAGCTGTCCCCAAGGGGCCTCGGGAGCCTCTGGGGACCAAGGATGGGCCCAAGGACAGGCCTCCGCCCTGTCCTGTCCGCAAGGCCACCTCCCCGCTCCCAGAGACGCTCCGGTGTTGTCTGCTGCGCGGTGGGCTTTCCCATCCGCAGATGCAGCGCGCGATTCGGTTGTGTTGGGACAGAGGCCAGCACGGCCGTGGACGGCACTCACGCCAGCGGAGTTCCTGACGGGCTGGCAGTGAGACGCTTTTTTAAATTGGAGGATGGGCCCCTTGTGACGGGGCGGGGGGTGGGGGGGCACGGCGGGAGTACCTGCTGTCTGTCCTAACTGGTGTCTCACCCCTGCAGGGCGCGCGGCTCACGGCGGTGCAGGTCCGGCGCCCTCCGCGGGGCAGAAGGCGCCCAGGATAGCCCCCCCGGTGGCGAAGTCAGGCTGCCCCCAGGTGCGTGCAGACTCGGCCTCCGGTCCTGTGCTCGCTGGTTTACTGCCCCGGGCGGACATGTCCATAATACAGGATTTTGTGTTTCAGAGTTTACACTTTTGAGACAGTGCTTAGGACGACGTGACAGGAAATACATGAGTTCCGAGTGTTTGTGACGTGGGCCCGTAAAAGCCGTTTCTCTCCTCTCCGAGTCCCTGCGCTGTTGTCCCTGCCGCTCCCGGGCCCGGGTGCACTGTGCTCTCAGCGTGTTGGGTTTTCCTGACGCGTGCAGATGCCGGGGCATCTGACTGGTTTCTCTGATGCTCAGAGTCATCGAGAAATCCATCTAGTGCCCTCTTTTCCTACCGTCTCAGCGTATTTTATTTAACCTTTACCGACATACAGTGCACGTAGGGAGAAGGCACGTACACCCCAGTGTCGTGCCGTCAGCGAGACGCGCCTCGGCAGCCAGCACTGAGATGAGGAAGCGGAGCAGGACCAGGAATTCCCAAGAATCCCCGTCGTGTGCGCCCTTCTGGTCTCGCCAGGCGGGACTCGGCTGTCGTGGTTTCTCGCCGCACAGCTGCGTGCAGCCCGTGTGCCCTCTGTACACGGAGCCTCACCGTGTGTGTGCTTCTGACTGGCCGCTTTGCTCAGCACCGTGTGCGTGAGGCGCGTCCATATCGTACTGGGTGACGGCACTGCCCGTGTGCTCTCCACCCCGACGGACGCTTGAGTAGTCTCCAGGTCCAGGGTGCTGCGAGCAGTGTTGCCAGCTGACATTTTCGGTGACCAAGTGTGTGCGTTTGTGTTGAGCGGACCCCGGAGAGTGGGACTGCTGGGCCCCTGGGTGGGCGTTAATTCCTCTTCAGTAAATTCCCGGGGGTTCGGCTGTTCCCTCCTCACCAGCCCCGGCGTTCCTCGTCTCTCACTGTCGGTGCTTTTTGTGGTGCAGGCGAGTGCTTCCCCGACGGCCAGTGAGCGGAGCTTCTCGCATGTGCTTGCTTGTTGGCCGCGTCAGCATCTTTGTGGGTGTCTGTCCCGCGGTCCCCGTTTTCCCGTTAGGTCTCCTGCCTCTCCCTTACTGCTGTGTGAGAGGTGGTTCCTCGTGGGAGCCACACACGTGCACGCGCACACGCACACGCACAGGGTGAGTGCTCTCCCCGTCTGTGAACCGCCTTTTTTCTCGGTGCGGTTTCTTTTGATGCGTCCAAGTTCTTAATTTTAATGTAGTTCCGTGTTTTAGTTTTTCTTTTATGATTAGTGCTTTTTTTCTGATTTAGTAAGGTTTTATTTTTCGAATGTACAGCGGGGCGGGGGGCGTGTTGTTCATGCATCTTCACCCACAGCTGGGCCCCCCCCTTTGGCATGTCGATGAGTGCTCTTCGTGTTCTGTTTTAGAAACCACTTCCTGTGCCAAGGTCAAAAAGGCGTCCTCCTATGTTCTTCTAAAGCCTTATTTTTCAAGCACAGTGTACATTCGGTATTATTTTGTGTTAGTTTCAGGTGTGCAGCATAGCGGTTAGATAATCTACACATTATAAAATGTTTCCCTCCTACGTCTAAGAGTTTTGTTACTTTACTTTTCATATTTAGATGTACATCCTGTCACCTCAGTCTGTTTTTTATGGTTCGACCTGAAGGTAACTCGGTCCCAGTTTCCCCCTTGGTCGTCTGCATGTCCCTCCGACTGGCAGTCACGCCTTTTCCTTCCGTCTCCCCTCCAGGCGGCCCCCTTCCCGCCCTGAGCTCGCAGTGGGGGCCCAGTGGGTGCTGATCCGGGTCTGGCTTCTGACATGATGTGTGGCACGTGGTATTTGTTAAATAACCGTTTGCCATTTTAATGTGTGCTCATACGTTCTGCGAACTGTACGCTAATTGCCGTAGGTATCGAGTAGTTGCAAAGTCGTCTCAAATTCCAACGTCGCTGAAGCCGAGCTCTGGACCTCTGCCGCACCTGGACCTGCCCCTGTCCCGGTGCTTGTGTCGGGGGAAGCAGCACAGCCGGGAGTTCGCGCGGCCCCCAGCGCAGAGCCCCCCCCCCCACCGCCCCGGGAGGCCCCAGCTAGCCTTCCCAGCCTGCACTGCTGCGGCGGCGTGTATCCTAATCCACATCGCCGATCCCCGGCGATGTCGTATTTCAGGCCATTGTTGTCTCTCCCTCTAGCACGGGGGAACTTTTAAAATCATAAAGGGTCAATAAACGCTCCCAAAACTTCACTAGTAGCTTTCCAGCACACTCAGAATAAAATCCAGTCTCCTGGGTGCAGCACACGTGATCCGGCCCCTCCACGCCCTCCACGCGCACATTTATCTCTCTGCCTCGCACACACCGGGGTCTCTCCCGCCTCCGCGCCTTGGCGCTTGCTCTCCTCCCCGCCCAGGAGGCCGTGCCCCAGGTCTTCCTGTCGCTTGCTCCTCATCTCGGAGGTCAGAAGCAGCGCTCAGTGAGGGCTTCCTGGGCCCTCTCCTCTCACCTGGCCCCGTTTTTTTCTCTCCATGTGTTTGCCCTGTGTGCCCGTCTACTGCTTTCGTGTCACCTACTCCCCAGCTGGGATTTATCTGAGGCGTTCACTTTCTCTCACTCGCCTTTTCCCCAGTAGGAACTTAGTTCCACGAGCGTGGGGACCTTGTGTCTCCCGTTCACCTCTGCCCCCACTGGCTAAGCGTGCCCTGTACCAAGTGGTTCCCAGGACATTCGGGCTCAAAAGAAGGAGTGACCGACCAGTGACTGTGTTACGACAGCGCCACTCCCTGTGACGGGCACTGAGCCCACTGCTTCGAGACGGCGGAACTTGGGGTGCCGGGTGCGTTTTTAACCCTCTCGCCTTCCGTTTCAGGCGAAATCACTTCCGCCCCCTGCTGTGGAAAAGCAGGGACACCAGTGGAAAGAGTCCGATCCTGTGATGGTTGGAATTGGCGAGGAGGTAAATGCGCTCCTGCGTGTGTTTTCGAGACGTGGCCCTGATGGGGGAACTTGACTGGCTCTGAGTGTCTAGACTCCTGCAGGATGTTTTTTTGTTTGTTTGTTTTTTTGTGTTTTTATTCTCACCTGAGGACATGTTCATTGACTTTAGAAAGAGAGGAAGGGGGAGAGGGAAAGAGAGAAAAACGTCAATGTGAAGGAAACATCAGTCAGTTGCCTCACATGCATGCCCCAACTGGGGACCGAACCCTCACTTAGGTGTGTGCCCTGAGCGGAAGTCAAGCCCGTGACCATTGTGGTGTACGGGACGATGCTCCAAGCAGCCGGGCTACCCGGCCAGGGCTCCTGCGTGACTCTTATTCCGGCCTTGAACCTTGGCGTGTCCCAAGAGTCTGTGCTGTCAGCGAGCTCAGTAGCAGTGACACACCACTGCTGTGCCACTCAGGCTGAGAAGTCCCCTCGTGTGTGGCTCCCGCAGATCGCGCACTTCCAGAAGGAGCTGGAGGACCTGAAGGCCCGCACTTCGAAAGCCTGTTTCCAGGTGGGCAGCTCGGAGGAGATGAAGATGCTGCGGACCGAGGCGGATGACCTGCACACCTTCCTTTTGGAGATCAAGGAGACCACGGAGGTCCGTGTCTGCTGGCGGTCTGCCGGGGGGGGGGGGTGGTGCGCTGCCGGCAGGGCGCCCCCGGTGTCTGCGGGCGCGCGCTTTCCCCCAGGGACCACCAGGGCTGTTCCTGGTGGCGTGCGTCCTTCCGCAGGAGTGACGAGGTGCAGGCCCTGCCTTCAGCACTTAGTAAGTCAGGTGACTGTGGGCAGGTCCATCCAGCTACTCCGTTTTAGTTTTCTCACGGAAGATGAACGGTAATAGTTTCCACCCCGCCGACACGCACAAGGTACTCCGTCAACGTTGAACATCATTAGTTTTGGCGTATTTGAAAATTTGTTAGGTTTTGTAACAAATTTTTGTAACTAAGTTGTTAGGTTATAATGAAGTCTTAGGTTTAAAAAAAAAAAGCAGACACGTAGGACTACATATAGTATAAAAACACCAAACAGTTGTTGTTGGTAGTCGTGTCTGTCGTGTTGCTGTTATTACCACTCACTGTGTGCCAGGCCCTGTGCTAAACCCTCGACCCGTGTTGCCTCCGTGAATCCTCACAGCTGGCCGGTGTGGTGGGTGCTGGACCGGCCCTGAGTGGGTAGCTGTGAGTCGTTGCTGTTTTGCGAGCCTGGGAACTGAGACTGAGAGGTGACGTGATGTGCCCAGAGCCCCGGTTCCTGAGTGCTGGCCCCAGGGTCCCCGTCCACGCCGTCAGACCGCTGGGCTCTGGTGTTACAGGCCGTGCTCGACAGAGGAAGGTTCTCCCGGCGTAGGCTGTGATTGTCCTCAGTTTGTAGGGTCTCGGCTGCTGTCAGTGTTGTTCTTACTCTCCGAGCTTCCAGTCACTGGAAGTGTTTTCTAATGAGGAAGAAAAATAGTGTTTTTAAAAGGAGCACTGGTAGACTAAAAAAGTGAAAAAACATTTAAAGAATAACAGGAAAAAGGTAAAAACGAACATTGGTATCTTTCCCTTCACACCGTGAAGCTCTTAACTTTTGCACGACGGTTTGCTGTGTTTGGGTGTTCGTCACGGTAACTGTTCACGAGGCAGCGCCTCTCCTGACCCGGGACAGAAAGGCTAGTTTCTGAGCTGTGACCACCTTTGTTGGAATTCGCCCTTCTCCAGTCTCTGCACGGGGACATCAGCGCCCTGAAGACGGCCCTGCTGGAGGGCTTCTCTGGGGCCGAAGAGGCCCGGGAGCAGAACGAGAGAAACCACGACGCCGGCTACCTGCGCCTGCTCTACAAAAGGCCCCTGGACCCCAAGAGCGAAGCACAGCTCCAGGTAGGGCCCGCCCCCCGCCCCAGGCGCCGGCTCGGGTTCGGGCGGCCGCCTCGCACGCCGTTTGTCTCCTGTGGGTGGCTTGCCTCCTTCCCGCAGACTTCTGCAGCGGCCACAGAGAAGAGAGAGTGCTTTTCGGATTGAGCAAAAATAGAATTCTTCGTTAACCCTTAAGCTCGGTAGAGAGTATGCTGTTGGAAAAGATTTACTTAGAAATTAAATCACGAAGAGTAATTATTAAAGCAGCAACTACCCATTTAGCACCAGGAGCTCTCCTTGGCGTTTTTTACTCATTGTTTCTGGTCTTGAAAACAACTGCTCTGTCCGCCTAGCGTTTCTGACCCCATGACACCCCCGTTACAACCCCGCCGGCCCGGGCCGTCTGCTGGGTGCCCACACAGCAGCACTGCGTGTCTCATGGTTCATTAGTCTTGTTTTCTGTCTTTGGGAAATCTGCGTTTCTTTCCGTCTTCCCACTTATTCCGAATTCGCCACAAGCTCTGGTGGCGGCCATCTCCCAGTTGCTTGCACTCGCCTGGATTCCCCGTGGGGACGGGGCCCAGGGGACGGGGCCCAGGGGGCAGTGCTGTGCCTCCGCACCCAGGGCTCGAGGGTCTGTGAGTGTGCGGAGTCCCCTCCTGCCCAGAGCATCCCCCACCTTCTCGGCCCACGCCTGACTGCCCGATGGGCAGGGAAACCGAAGGGCATAGTCCCTCCTCCCAGAAAGGCCGAGGAACCGCTGCGGGGTCCCCCAGCCCTGGTGGTGGTCCTGGTGCTCCCTCCCGCTGTGGATGTCAACTTGCTCAGCCAGGCAGGCCAACCACCGGCCTCCCGCTCATCAGATTACAGCCTCGTGTTGCATCGAGTTACACTTTCTTCTGACGGCCCTTTTCTCCTCTCGCTCTGTGTCCAAACTCAGAGAAAAGCATGCTGCTTTAGGGTGACACTCCCCATTCAAAAGGAAATCATTTTCTTCTTCCACAAACGCTAACTAGACCATAGTAGCTTGGTGTTTTTTGAGTGCATGTCTCATACAAAAGGAAGACGCTGGAAGTACTTAAGTCTCACTGCTAATAGATGCTGGACCCTTGAGTCTGGACGGTCTGGCTCAGAGCCGGTGCTCTTAACCCCGTCGCTGCCATGTGCAGGCCCTGCAGCTGCACGTGTGGCAGAGGGACAGGTGACACACGAGTGCAGCCTGCTGCTGTGGGGCGGCAGGTGAGAGGGCAGCTGCGCCACAGAAGAGAGGTGGCGGTGACAGGCCTGGAGAGAACGGTAGTTTTTCCCCGTAGATGAAGCGGGGAGAGCATCCAGGAGAAACAGCACCAGCCGTTGCGCAGAAGTCTGGTCCCATCCGGGTGTCCCGAGAAGGGGCCTCCCCGTAGTCAGGTGGGAGCTGAGACCCGAGTTTGGTGCTCGTCGGCCGGGCTCTCTCTAAAGGACATTCTCCCTGCTTTAGTCGGGCCTGTGCTCTTACCCCAGCGTGGCTGTGAAAACACTCACACACGGTGAGGTTCTCGCGCAGGCGCAGGGCGCGTGCCCGGTGTGTGCGCCTTGTCTTCGCTCGTGTGCATGTCCAGCGGGCTGCTTCCCTTTGTCATCAGCTCTGAGAGTCAGATTGTATTGCCATGGAGGTTAACACTGGACCAAACTTTAAAGAAAATTGTTGCAGGCTTAAAATAAGTTCATAGGTAAGAATTTTAATAATGAAAAACTCAATTTCTAGTGCTGATACTATTTGTTTTGGAGAAGAAATGAGGTTTTCCCAATTGCTGAGGTGACTTCTGTGTTCTGCATTCTCAGTAGCTGGGATCAGAACCGTTTTCAGCACTGCTGTGAGGGATGATTTTGTCTGTCTCACAGTCAGTGTCACGAGTGGGAGAGCAGAAGCTCAGTGGGCGCCCGGTCAGAGCACAGGACGCAGTGGAAAATCCCTAGCCCGCGCTGGGATGCTCTAGAGGAGCTGGAACGTGAGAACCGGGCCAGAGCGCCGGTCCCCTGAGGCCTGGGCCCCGCTGGCTCTGTGTCTGTCCCTCCGCCCGCCGCCCCGCCACACCCGCAGAAGGGCGAGCTCTGGGGCTCCCGTGGATTACCGCGGTCTGGCGGTTCTGTTAGAGCCCGGCGTGTTTCCTTTGTTCGTGGTGGTGGTTCTCAGTATGAAAACAGTTCAGGGTTGTTTTCACTGCCTTGGTGCCGCTTCCCCCGAGGCCCTGGAAAACCGAGTCACCTTCGTGTTTCCCATGCAGGAGATTCGGCGCCTTCACCAGTACGTGAAGTTTGCTGTGCAGGATGTGAACGACGTTCTGGACCTGGAGTGGGACCAGCACCTGGAGCAAAAGAGGAAGCAGAAGTGAGCGAGCGGTCGGCCGCGGTGGTGGGAGGCGGGAGGCGGCGCCGCGGCCTCTCCCACGACGGTTTAGGCGCACTGATAAAAAGCCCCAGGTGTCGCTTCCCGTTGACCCAGGCTTTGTGCGTCTAGGTGTTCGTCCTAGAGCAGTAAGAGCCGTGCTCACAACTGTTTACGTGAAGGAACTTACGGCACCGCGCAGCTTGTGGCCTCGAAACTGGGATGGAACCCGTCGTCCAGAAGCTAGAGGACGGGCTCGGGCAGTCCGGCCACTTCTTAGTCTCAGTCCCGGCACTGCCACCGACTAGCGTGTTCTCCAAGACAGAACCCTGTTAACCGTATTTTTCACGTTATGTGGGGTGTGCTACCTGATGCGTAACGGCACCTCGGTCACTAGACGCCACCTGCAGGACGGGGAAGGCGTAACTAGGGGGCGAGCCCAGAGCGCAGCTCTGCGCCCGGGAAAGAGGCTGGGGCGACCCCGGCGGACACTCGCGGGAATAGCCGCGAGGTGGCGCGGAGAGGAGTTTCTCCCTTCTGCCTTTTTGCGTATCCCGAGTTCGCTTCTTAAGGGGACACTGCTGGTCAGTGTGCTCACTAGAGGGCCCAGAGGGCTGGTGTCAGAGGGCTGGTGCCAGAGGTGCTTCTGCAGGAGGAGTCGAAGGCAGCTCGTTGCGGGAGCGCGCAGGCGCCCACGAGGAAAGCAGAGAGCAGATCAGCCCGCACAGCGCCCGGTTTCTGAAACCCCTGCACTTGGGGGACACAGTTAGCTGTGCAAGGACACACGCCCGGAAGTGGTCTGCCTGCTTGTTTGTCAAGCTGTGGGATCGCAGAACTTTCGAGTGGGGCGACCTGAGTGTGACGTCAGGGGGGCGCCAGAGCGTGCGCAGTGTCGGGGAGCAGAGCGTAGCACGTCACGCCGCACCCCGTGGAGAGAGGCTCTGGGCCCGAGCCGAGGAACCTCAGCTTGGAACCGGGATGAGGGGGCGAGGGGTGAGCGCTGACCCCTCGGACACGGGCTGGGGAGGGTTCCTCTGCCCGTGCCAGGGGCCCCGTCCCCGTGGACACGTGGGCCCCGTTAGAGATTTCCCAGTTGGCCCACCTAGTTCTGAACTCGGGTTCGGCCACACGTGAGAGGGGGCCTGACCTGGCCGCGGGCCCGTTCTGCCCTGCTTGCCCGTCAGACTTCTCTCCGCTGACTTAAAGGTCGGACTTTAAAAAAAAAATGCATAATGAAAACACAGAAGCCCAGCTTTCTTTTCCTTTGTGACAGTTCCATGCATTTACTGCGTAATACGCTTTCTTTAGTTCTCTTCTGCAGAGTTCAGATTCCTAAGTCTGTACAATTTTCTCGCGTTTCTGTGTTTGAGGTTTTTTTCCTCAGTGCTGCTGTGTACCCTCTTGAATGTGTCCTGAACTGCCTGTCCCCCGGAAGACAGGGAGCGGTCCCATCTCCTTTTAGTCCTTCGGGTGGGCCACGCCCCGCTGCCAGGTGGCGTGCGGTCCCTCTGTCTCTCAGCAGCGCCGTGACTCCCGTCGACTGTCACTGAGCCCTGGGCTGCTACTCCTTATTGGCCGTTATTTACACACAGGGAAATACACGTGCCCTAAGTGTACGGCGGAGTGCGTTGGTCCTCTGTTGCGGACCGGTCTCCGGGCCTTTTCCTCCCCAAAGCCTCCTCTCTGGGGCTTTGATGATGCCTGCAGGCCTGGCCCCCCCTCATCGCCTTCCCTCCCCATCGGGCTGTCATCCCCTTGGCCTGGTCTAGTGATTCCTGGATGCTTTTTGTCCGCTAGTGGCTCTGTTCCATTCTTTTCACTCCCCTCCCGCCCCCTGTCGGAGGGTCCTTCACTCAAACCGCTCACGGTGAGTTCTTTTTCTCATTGCTGCCAGCAGGCGCCTGCTTGTGCCGGAGCGAGAGACGCTGTTCAACACCCTGGCCAACAACCGGGAGATCATCAACCAGCAGAAGAAGAGGCTGAACCACCTGGTGGACAGCCTCCAGCAGCTGCGGCTGTACAACCACACGCCCCAGTGGAGCCTCCCCTCGGACGTCTCCTCCCAGAGCAGCACGCACAGGTGCGCGCTCAGCGACTGGGGCCCGGCGAGTGTGCGCTTGGGAGTAAGGGGGGGGTCGTCCTGAGGTGGTTCACGTGTGGGTGCCAAGGGACTCTGCTGCCTGACACCATCGGGTTCCTCGCCCCTTCTGACGCTTTGTCCTTTGCTGTAGATTTTAATGTTTTTAGAAAGGGGGGAAAGGAGGGGGACAAACATCCATCGGTTTGGGGACCTGACCCACACGGCCGGAGTGTGCCCTCACCAGGGACGGGGCCCTGCGGTCTTCCTGCCGGTGCTCAGTCCAGCGAGCCACCCCTGTTCCTTTGCTTAAAAAATAGGGGTAACAGCCTCAGCTGGTGTGGGTCAGTGGATTGAGTGCCGGCCTGCAAACTGAAAGGTCACAGGTTTGATTCCCAGTCAGGGCACAGGCCTGGGCTGTGGGCCAGGTCCCCGGTTGGGGGGGTGCGGGGGGCAACTGGTTGATGTGTCTTGCACATCAGTGTTTCTCTCCCTCTCTTTCTCCCTCCGTTCCCCTCTTTCTAAAAATAAATTTAAAAAGTCTTTTTAAAAAATAGGGATAACAATACGTGTTTCACGGGATTATTGGAGAGTTAAGTCTAGAAAGCCCTAGTGTATGTGACGGAAACAGGTGTTCGGTAGAGGACAGCAGACACTCTCGTAACAGCATCATTTTATTGAGAATTAACTGGTAGGGTTAGGCTGACTCACCTCAAAGCTTAGATTGGTCCTTTTGCTTGAGTGTGGAAACTCGCAGAGCCCAGCCGGGAGGCAGCTCGCCCTTGAAGTTCCCGAGGAGGTGCTGTGTTTCCCCTGCAGCCCAGACGGGTGCGCTTTAACTCCCAGTTCTGCCAAAGCACTGGCGGGGTGCTTGCCGTGTGGGTGCAGTTAACGCCGAGGTCGCCGTGTCTTTGGGGCGGATGGCATGGAGGGGTCGGCCCACCCGTTTCTGTAGGAGGGACGCGCTCCTCTCCTGCGTTTGTGTTCAGGACACGCGCCCTCCGGCCCTCGGGTTTCCTGGGCGGCGTTGGTCTGTAGGTGACACTGGCCGGTTTCAGTTTTGACAGTGACCTGGAGAGCCTGCGCAACGCTTTACTGAAGACCACCATCGAATCCCACGCCAGACCCTTGCCGAAGGTTCCAGGTGGGTGCGTTCTTCCCGGCCCTTCAACCCTCTGGTTCCTTTCCTCTGCCGACCGGATTTTAAGCATTTATGGGCCCGTGAATGTCTTGCAGCTAAACTGTCCCCTGTGAAACAGGCACAGCTGAGAAACTTCCTGGCCAAGAGGAAGACCCCACCCGTGAGATCCACCGCTCCAGGTACGGGGCGCCGGTCCTGAGTGTCTCGGCGGAAACCGCACGGCACGTGGCACGGGGGTGCTCTGTGTGTGCCGTCTGTCTGTGCTTTCCACCCGGTTCTTAATGGGAGAGACGTCCCCGGAAGCTGTGGTCCCTCTGCATGCCGGAGCAGGAGGCTGCTGGCACGTCTCAGCCACGCAGCTTGTGTCGTCGTCGTTGTTGTGCTGTCACGACAGGTGTTCCGCGACCCCCGTCTGTGTGGCAATGACTCCGAGGCTTTGGGGTTGCTGAGCTGGTGCCGCGGAGCGTGGCCGCTGCTTTGGAGGCTTTGCTTTCCGAGTCCTGTGGGGTTTGGAATGAGAGGGTATTTAAAACTCTTTGTAAAAAAGGTAGACAGTAGAAAAATCTACTTATTAGGAAAACGATAGCCATATAAGTAATGGAAAAAAATTGTTTTTGCAGGTAAATAAATTAGATAACTACCTCAGTTTTCTTTTTCATATTGCATGTTATTTGCAACTTCCAGCACACCGTGGCTTTGCTTTAGTGCCCACATGCGCTCCTTTCTTCTTTTAACTTTGTTTTGGGTAGAAATTGTTTTTTTTTATACCAACAAATTATTTTTGGTAATTAAAATAGCAGAAGAAACTTAATTTAATCTTACTGTACCGCAGCTTATTTATTCTTCTGTAATCATATAAAGTTAAAGTAAATTAGCTAAGTAATAGTCACAGACAAGTGAAATTTTTAGTAACTTTTTCCATTATCTCGAGCGTACCCTCTCTTGGCAGATAGTTAGAAAACGTGGAAGAATTTAAAGAACAAAAACTGCACTTATCTGCCAACCCAGTTACGTCATCAGTTGTGTCATCTTGGTTTACTCTTGATTTTTTTTCTTTGCATGCATAAATTTAATTTTTGAAAATGAGGTTGAGACTATTAATCTGTAACTTCATATTCTTATTTTTTTTTAATTAGAAACTTGCAGGCTTTACTGTAGAACAGAAAAGGACAGGTGTTGGCTAGGCCGCGGGCAGGTCGGAGCCCTTGCGCGCCGACCGACCGTAGGAGAGAGGGAGACGGCGCAGCACTGTGGGCAGCGGCTGGGGGCTGCTCGGGAGAGCAGAGCTGCCCCGGCCACAGCACAGACTCGAGAGCAGGGGCTCAGACAGCGGCCCTGTGCGCCCGTGGTCACGGCCGGGTCGTTCACGGCGGCCAAGGGCAAAAGCGAGCCGGACACCCCCCGTCCGGGAAACAGGCAGAGTGGGGTGTGGGCGTGTCCTCGCCAGGAGGGGACCCTGACACACGCCGCGCCTCCTCAGTGGGGGAGACTGAGGGTGCAGTGCTGAGGGGTGCGCCGGTGGCAGAGAGACAGCTCCCGTGGGACACTGTCTGTGGGAGGGACCTGAGTGACCAAACCCACAGACACAGCAGGCAGGATGGGGGCGGCCGGGGACCGAGGAGGAGCGGGCTGGAGGGTCGTGGGGCAGAGTTTCCGGCGGACAGGATGGAGAGGGCTCAGCAAATACGATTGCTCACTTTGCTCCAGACTGGGAGGCAGGCGAGAGAAAGGCGGCCTCTGGCCACAGGGAAGTTTGTATGAAAGGGGGGAACACAGACACTGGGGAGACAGCTCCACGTGGGGTGTGCAGTGTGGAGAGTGACTGTAACTGTGAGCGGTCCTGACCTGTCAGCGCTGCGGCCGCGGCACACGCAGCGCACGAGAGACAGAGTCCGTCCGTCCGTCCGTGTGCCCCTCCTGGTTCAGAGGCAGAACTCGGCCGCTGCCGACTCCCTGCGCCCCCTCTCGGGCTCCCCCGTCGCCCTGCTCCCCGAAGGAGCGCTGTGTGACATATGGCAGTTCGCCTCCGTCTCTGTTTTTTTCTTTGGACATCTAGAATTTGTATTATTCCAACCATGTCTAACCCCCAGCCTCTGGCGCAGTGCGGCGAGCGCCCTTCCGCCCGCACCCGCGTCTCCCGGACCGCTCGCCACAGCCGCTTCCGTCCTCCCTCCCTCCTGCACACGCACGCATGCACATGCACCGCTGTTCTCCCGTGGGGCTGGTGGGAAGCGAGCGGCAGCGGCCGTGACTCCGGAGCGTTCCGGCGCGGGCCCTCCCTGAGCAGTCGCCGGAACAGCGGGCAGGTTGGGGGCCCGCCCTCAGGAGGGCGCTGCTCTCGGGCGTGCAGTCCTCCCCCGCTGTGCCGCCTGCCCCCCCCCCCCCCCCCCGTCACGCCCTGCATGCCGCTCTGTTGTAACGTCTGTGGCCCAGGCCAGGGTTGCCCCTTGGCTGTGTCCCTGCCGACGGTGAAGGTGAGCGCCGTGGGGCTGCTGCCTCGTGGCTGACCCGGTCTCCTCTTGGCCCGCAGCCAGCCTGTCGCGGTCCGCCTTCCTGTCCCAGAGGTACTGCGAGGACTTGGACGAGGCCAGCTCCACGTCGTCCGTCTCCCAGTCCCTGGAGAGCGAGGACGCACGCACGCCCTGTAAAGACGAGGACGCAGCGGCGGCCGCCCAGGTCCCGCGGCACGCCCCCGTGGTCCGCACGCCCTCCGTCCAGCCCGGCCTCCTGGCCCAGGCGGCTGCTCCTTTCGCCAAAGCCCACCTGAGCCACGGTTCGCCTGGTGTGACGGGGACTACAGGTGAGGAGACGTGAGCCGGGACGCTCCGTGTTCCCCGGCAGGCTGAGCTCAGGAAGGAACCGTACCTGGGCTCCGTACTGTGTCACCACCACCACGCTGTTGGTGCCGGCCCGCTCCTGCTGGTACTCCGCAGGTCGGAGGGCTGGTCCCACAGGGGGGCGTTCCCCTGGGAGGCAGTGGGTAGGACGTCGTGAAGGAGCCGGAAAGCGCACGCTGTCACAGCTTCACGCTGAGTCCTGCTCGTGTGTTTTACACACACCTCCTCTGGGGTCACGGGGGGAGCTGTCTGCCTCGGTGTGAGGCAGCGCCCACTCTCGCGCCCGCACGTCTGAGCCCGTTTCGGCCTGCCACTATGCCCTCCGGCACGCGAGCGTGGGCGGCGCTGGCTCGCCGAGGCGACGTGCCCTGCGTTGTGCTGGCGCCCCGGCCGTTCAGGGATCCGGGGCTCTGCCCAAGGCGGGTCCTGGCAGGGAACAGGCGATGAGCCGGCGACCGTGGGATGGAAGAGTTTTGTGGGGGTGGGGAGCAGGGAATCGACCGAGCGGGCCTGTGTTGGCGTCACGGTCGTGTCGGGGTCGGTGTCGGCGGGAGCGACCGTGCAAGGCAGTGGTCCCAGCCAGCGCGCCGCAGGAATTTCTAGGAGGTGCGGCGCCTGCCGTTGGGTCGGGGGCACGGCCCTCTCGTCCCGCAGATCGTCAGATAGACCGGTGACAACAGCCAGCACAGCAGCCGCCACCCATGTGAATGATCAAAGTTGTACCTGTTTTGCGGGTCAGAAAACACATTTTTTGGTGTGCTGCAGAATTGTAGTAATTAGTTCACGGGTGCAGGAGGTGGCACAGCTGGGAAATCGCTGACGTAGGGTGCTGCAGTCACTCTGCCGAAGTAGGCGGGCGGGCAGATGGCACGTGGGCCTTGGAAAGAAAGACATGGGTGCCGGCCTGTTGCTGGTACTTTTTCTTTTTTCTTTTCTTTTTTTTTAAAGAAGGAGAGAAACATCAATTGGTTGATTGTGAGAGATACATGAATTGGTTGCCTCTTGCAGGCCCCCAACCGGGGAGGGAATCGAACCGGCGACCTTTTGACTCATAGGCTGGCACTCAGTCCACTGAGCCACACCAACCAGGGCTGTTGTCGCTGGTACTTTTCTATGTTCGTGCTTAAGGATAATTTCCCTGAAACCTAGCGCGGAGATTTAACCATTTTAACGTGTGTTTTCCTCTCCTCTGACGCTCTCTCACCTGATCTCTCTGTTTCCTTCAGCATCTCCGTCTGCTGGCAGAGTTCTCCCGCAGGGGGCTGACAGCACGATGCTTGCAACCAAAACCGTGAAGCACGGGGCCCCGGGCCCCTCCCACACCATCCCGGCACCCCAGGCGGCCGCCGCGGCTGCGCTGAGACGGCAGATGGCCAGCCAGGCGCCAGGTGAGAGCTGGAGCCCCCCTCCCCTCCCCCCGTGCAGAGGCCGGGTGCGAGCTGTGTGTGTCACAGGCCAGGGCAGCAGGTGCGCATGAGCACCTGGCCCTCTGCTGCTGTTCAGAAAAGAAAACTGCTGTGACACCCTCTGTCCTCCCTGGGGAAAGGGTTTCAAGGAAGCAGAAAGCAGACCTGAAACTGTTTTCTGTTACGGGAAGGTGTCAGGTCTGCCACGTTTAGATAAGGAGGAAATCTGGTGTTTAGATGACCTTGTTAATCCCTACATTTGAATAACGTCTGCTGTATACCCAAATTAACCTTTGTGATTTGATCAGCTAGTAGCATTCAGATCGTCTCATGGTGTGGGGAAGCGCTCCACCGCCGTGGGAGGTGGGGATCAGAGGGGCCCGCTTGCTCCAGAGTGAGATGTGGTTCGGAGACACGAAGGTCCCCCGGCCAGTAAGAGCGGAACCCAGACTCCAACCCCGGGTCTTTCCGCTGCCACACTGCTGCCTCTTAGGGTGGCAGATGCGGCCTTCATAGATGGGAGCTCTGATTTACAGGTGGGAGCACCTGCATTTTGTCACTGGTCTGTGGCTCTCCAGGCTGTCTGCAGCAGGGCCTGCAGGCCGTCGCCCTCCAGGGCCTCAGTCACCACCGCCGCTGTGCGTGCAGGCCAGCGGTTCCGCCCACCCCGCCCCCAGCAGTTGGCGGTGTTGGTGGAAGAAGGCAGGAGTGCTGCAAAAAAAATTTTTTTTCATTTATTTTTATAGCTATTTTTTGCATATGATTGTCACTTATTAAAGCATCATTTAAAAAGCATCATTACTACTGTAGTTGGCAGTAATTTACATTTTATCTCACGGTAGCAGTTTTCAAGGAAAATGTAAAAGGACATCACAATGAAGAAAAAGACTACACTTACAAAGTCATGTGAACTTCAAGGCTAGTTTAGAGCTGATGTAAGGCTACTTGAGTTTTGTGACTTTAACATAGTCTTTTAATTTTTTAAAAGATCTTTATTTTATTTATTTTTAGAGAGGGGAAGGGTAGGAGAAAGAGAGGGAGGGAAACATCAAGTGTGGTTGCCTCTCACATGCCCCCTACTCGGGACCTGGCCTGTAACCCGGGCATGTGCCCTGACTGGGAATCAAACCAGCGACCCTTTGGTTCATAGGCCAGCGCTCAATCCACTGAGCCACCCCCGCCAGGGTCTTTCATTTAAAAAAGGTACCTAGTGCCCTAGTCTCTCTCTCTCGATTTGTTCACTACTTACTTTGTCTGGCGGAACTGTAGTTCTGTCCAGCAAGAACCCTCCCAGCAGGTTAGTTTCCAAAGGGGCCCTCTGCGTCCTGTTGCTGCGCCCCAGGGCAGAGGGGCGCATGGATCTGTGCGTGCCCACGCAGGCGTGGGGATCCCCTGCAGTCAGAGGGGAGACAAGTGAGCAAGGGCGATGCATGTGGCCCCTTTCCTCTTGACCCTCACGGCAAAGAGATGAAATCGATAACGTCAGGTTCCCCCTGAGCCGCACTTCCTTCCATTGGAGCCACGCAGTCGCAGATGGCTCTTTTTCTATCACCGGTGGCAGGGGAGAAAAGGGAGGGGGAGCATGTAAGTTTCCTCTAAAAGACTTGATCACCTTGCACATTTCATCTGTCCTGGGGATCATGAACAACACACTGCGCATTCCTTGGTGACACGCGTGTGTCACGTAACTCAGACTCTCTTATCTTCGCTGCAAAAAAAAAAAAATCTTAAAATGCACAGGACTCCCCTACAACAAAGGATTACCCAGCCCCAAAATGTCAGTAGTGCCAAGGTTGAGAAACTGCTGTAAGTCAGATATTTTTGTTGTAGCTGAATAAAATTATTTTTCAGTTTTATCACTGCTTAGAGTACATGTCAATGTAGACAGGGGTTTTTTTTGCTTAAGACTAGAAAGATGTGGCTTGATTTAGACAAAATAAGAAGTACTATTATACAGTGATAAAAGATTTCTAAGAAAACTTCAAGTATTAAAACCTGTATCAAGGCATCTAAAACAGATAATGAGCCGTGGCTGGTGTGGCTCAGTGGATCGAGCACTGTCCTGGGAACCGAGAGGTCGCTGGTTTGATTCCCAGTCAGGGCACGTGCCTGGATTGCAGGCCAAGTCCCCAGTTGGGAGCATGCAAGAGGCAACCAGTAAGCGTATCTCTTATACATGGTGTTTTCCCCTCTCTGTTTCTCCCTCCCTTCTCTCTTTCTGAAAATAAATAAGATCTTCTAAAAAAACAAAATAGATATGAAAGCGCACAAACAAGATAACTGCCAGGTACCTTTGAGCCTTCTGAGAGAATAGAACGCTCTGATGCTCCCTTCAAATATTACTTGGGCCAGGCAGAACCGTGGCATTGTGCTGGGCAGGCTCAGAGTCACGCTGATAGAGTTGATTATTTATACGCTGGAAACCTGCCAGGATTTACGGTCATTCCACTCTCAGCAGGAGGTGGTGTGATCTCTTTTATCATGTTGGAAGCAGAAATTTCCAAGGTGTAGGCACCTTCGAATGAGAAAGACAAAGAATGTGCAGTCGTAGGCGAGAAGTCCCGGCCGCCTCTCTGAAGGAGGGAAGGAGAGCGGGCCGCCGCCCACCCACCTTCTCCCCAGCCTGCAGCTGCTGCGGCTCTGTCAAATACGTAGTCAGAGGGGATCCGAGGGCTTCGCTCAGCCTAATTACAAAATACCAAGTTTTGGAATACAGCGTTAGGTCGTAAGACACACGAAAGGAGATGCGGAGGCTGGCCAGCCCGAGACGGGTGGCGTGTGTCAGAAGGACCCCGGTCGCCCTCCCTCAGGGCAGCCTCTCGGCCTCCCTCCCGTTCCTGTCCAGGCCCCGCTGGCCACGTTTTGTGCATCGTGTTGGTCTGGGCCGTGAGCTCCTGTGGGGAAGACGCTGTGTGTTAGACAGTTGTTGTATTCCCAGCACCCAGCAGTCTGGCAGTGCGAAGCCCGTGCAAAAGAACGGTTGAATGAATGTGTGGGTGGGTGGAGAGATCCTTAGTCGGAATGCCGCCCCTCCTCTGGCTCTTCCTGCCCTTCTCCAAGATGAGCCGGCAGCGTGGCTGGTGGTCGCGGCTCTGCTCTGGGGAACCTGGCCAGGGGATTCCTTTTCCCTGAACCAGGACATGTGACTGAGTTGGGCGAAGCCTTGTGTCATGATCTTGGTGAATGGAGGCGGCCAGGTGTTCCAACCACGGTGCCTCGGGGCGGCCCGGAGTGGGTTTCCTTTCTCCAGGGAGACTGCATCCTGCGTGGGTCTGTGTCCCGGCTGCAATGAACGTGCCTGTCTGTTCTCTCTCTTAATAGCTGTGAGTACGTTGACTGAGTCGACTTTGAAGACTGTCCCCCAAGTGGTAAACGTGCAGGAACTGAAGAATAACCCTTCACCCGCCTCTGCAGCGATGGGGTATGTTCCGCCTTCGCCGTGCGTGTCTGCTGGCGAATTATTCTGTAACCGTGAGGGCCTGCCTGCAGGGGGCAACACTGCCACTGGCACTGGGCGGCTGTTCTCCCTGCCGAGCCTCAGGTCACGAGAGGGGTGGGCGGCTCATCTCGGGTGCAAGGTCGGGCTTTCAGGAGACTGGCCTCTTCACCTTGCCCCTGGCAGTTCGTTGTAAACCTTCAGAGTCCGTGCGGCCCAGGGTGCTGTTTGCCGTGTACACGTCTGTGTGGGGCACACAGTAGGGTCGTGGAGTCAGGTGCAGGGCTTGATTTTCTTTAATGCTTTTGAGGTTCCAGAGTTGATGCGCCCGTTGTGACGCACACTGCTGATCCTGAAAACTCGGCAGAGATCCTGAGGTTGACCGTCTCCGCCTCACTTCCTCTCTCCGGCATCGCTGTTCTTTCCAGTTTCTTTTGCCTTTTGTGTGAGAAACAAAAAACGAGCACAGTCTTTTAAACGACAGAAGCTCTGCTCGGAGACTTCCAGCCTGTCCTCTGCGCCGCGAGTTTGAGGGCTGGGCTGTCGCTGCCAGAGCTGCTTCTCTCAGGAGCGCCAGGCCGAGGCCCCGCCCCCGCCGGGCCGCCCAGCTCTGGCAGCGCAGTGCTCGGACGACGCCTGCTTGCAGCTCTGCGTGCTGTGGCTGTGCCCTCCTGCGTCCGTCCGGCCCAGCCTGGCCTGGGACCCAGGGAAGAGTCGAGGGACGTTTCCTTAGGGGGGGCGTGGGGGTGTGGTGACCAGCGTCCTCCGGACAGTCGTGTCTGTGCCCGTGGTCAGTGCCTCAGCAGCAGGAGCACCCAGACCGCACTTCTCCCACATCGCGCCCACACGCGCCCTCCGCCCGGGTCTGCCCCCTCGTTGGGCTCAGCTCTGTGAGCGGCCCCACGTCCCTGTCTTGTGGTGACCTTGACGCTCCGCTGTGCTGTTTAGGCCAAGGTGGTGCTTGTGGTGGTGGTGAACTTCAAGGGGAAAGATCCAGGCAGTAGCGTTTGGGAACTGCAGACAGGCTCGCAGTGCAGGGCAGGCACAGACAGGCCACAGGGGGGCAGAGTGTTAATGACGTGAGAGGAAGACCCAGCCCGGCGGTCTGGGCAGGAAGTGGGGCCCGGCCTCTCTGAGATGCTGCAGCCACTCACTGTGCACGGGCGGTGCCCCTCGGCGACCCCACCGCACCCTGTCTCGGGGCCCGTGTCCCCGAGTGGCTCGCCTCGGCTGCTCTTCGACTCGGGCGTTGTCAGAGCAACCGCTCTGCGTCTCCCCTTGTTTCTCACCACAGGAAAGTGCCACGGAAGTTAAAAAGGAATCTGGGAGAAACTTTCCCCTCCTTTCCCTGCGGGATTGGGCTCTGGACAGTTGTTGAACTTGGTGCCCAGCGTGGCGCACGGAGGTGGTTCCTTGTCACTGACCACTGGCCAGCTGGCGATAAGGGGAGCTCGCAGCATGGCCGGCCGGCGGGCGTCGGTGTGTGCCGCCTCCCCCCAAGGACGGCTTCGGAGGGGGACACGTTCAGTACAGAGTTACTCGCTTCAGGTTCTGTTCCACGGTGGTTTCCTAACTGTCCTTGGAGTGTTTTATTTTGCGTCTCACTTTTTCTGAGCGGTATCGTACAGAAGATTTGCCGTAAGATGAGCTTACGTGTTCCTGCCGTTGGTCTTTCTCCCGTTCTCGGCTTCACCCGTGCTGTCACCTGTGCTGGTGGTCGGTCAGCGTGACGCTCGCTGGCTGACCGCCCTGGGTTCGGCTGAAGCTTCCGGCTCCTCTGCCGTGAGCATGACGCTGCCCCACGGTCAGGGACACAGCAGTGAGTCAGTCATACCAGTCCTGCTTCCCTGGCACGTATGTGTAAGCAGGGAGACAGGCCCCAAACTACCAGCCACACAGGTCACTTGACCGCAGTGTGGTGAGCTCAGCGAAGCGGGGGGTAGAGGGACCAGGGGCCAAGACAGGACGCGATGCGCTGGGGCCTGGGGCTGACAGAGCAGCTGGTGAGGAAGCGATGTTTTAGCTGGAAATGGAACAGCGGCCAGGAGTGCCGAGAAAGGGGTTCTGCCCGAGGGCACGGGGGGGGCTCGGAGCTGGCGGCCTGGGCTGGGCGACAGCAGTGCCTGTGGGGCGAAGTGGAGAGAAGGCTGCAGTGGGGCCGATGAGGGGAGGTTTTTGGTTTGATTCTTCTTTTTTTTTTAAAGTTTTTTTCATTTACTTATTTTTAGAAAGGCAAGGGAGGGAGAGAGAAACAATGTGTGGTTGCTAGGGGTCGCAGCCCACAACCCAGGCATGCGCCCTGACTGGGAATCGAACCTGCGACGCTCTGGTTTGCAGCCCGCGCTCAATCCACTGAGCTGCACCAGGCAGGGCTGATTGTTCATTTTTATGAAAGCACACCGGACCCCTCATTCCTTCCAGGAATTTTGTTGTGCGTTCACTCTTGTTTTCACAAAGACTTAATGAGCCTGCCCTGTGTGCCGCACACTGGTGCCGAGGGCAAGGCAAGGCCGGCAACAAACCCCACAACCAGCCCGGCCCTCGTCCAGAGGGACGAGTGGCGAGTGGGAGGAGCCGGCGCAGCAGTGCGCAGTGCGCACTAGCATCCTAGGGGTGGCGGGTGCAGCAGAGAAAACGGAAGTAGGGGAGGGGCGCAGGGGCCACAGGGGCCACAGGGGCCACGGAGGGGCGTGGGTGCAGCCTGAACAGGGCGGTCGAGCGAGGAAGGCGCCTCGCGCATGGCTGACCGGCTCGGGTGTCTCCGCAGTGCCCAGCCGGCCAGCCTTCATCCCGCGTTCGGCTGGGTTTCTCTGTCTCTGGAATATTCCGCCTCTCGGTGGCCGCTGGTGCTCGACATGCGCCTGGACAAAGACCAAGGCCAGAGAGCGGGCCTCACGGATATCCGAGGGGAAAGGGCTCCACCCACAGGGGCCCGTGGCGGGCACGTGGCGGGCAGGTTCACGAAGGAGCCAGGTGGCCCCTGGTGGCTGGGCAGAGAAGAGAGCCCTGGACCTGAGGCCAGGGTGGGGTGGGGGCCCCATCCTGTCCCCTCGAGCGAGCCCGGCTCAGGGCCCGGCTGACCATCGGATGTGTTAGTTTGAGCAGTTGACAGATCTGATTTGGGGTTTTGTTCATTTTGTTTTTAACTGTAGTCATGTTTTAAAATGGAGGTGTAATTTACAAACAGTAAAATTCATCTTTTTTTAGCATAAAACTCCTAAGCGCTTTGATAAGTGCCGATAGTAGTGCACGATGTGTGGTTTCGGCCGGAAGCCGCCGGTCCTCGGGGTGAGAGCAGGTCGGAGGGGCCGGCGTGGGGCGTGTGGACACGGGGCGCAGCTGGGGGCTTCTCCTTGTGTGCCGTGGTAAAGCGGACACAGCAGGGCTTACCGTTGTAAGTGTGCAGTTCAGTGACATGAAGTCCGTGTACAGTGCCGTGTGACCCTCACCACTGTTCGTTCCAGAACTTGGTCACCATCGCCACCAGGAGCTGGGTACCCCTTCAGTAGTAACTGCTCGCCCCCCTTCCCTCCACCCCCGGTGACCTCCGCTCTGCTTTCCGTCTGGCGATTTGCCGGTTGGAAGTGCCTCGTATAAAGTGGAGCCGCACGTACAGTGTTTGTCCTTTGGTGTCTGGCTTATTTCACGTTTGTTTCCCAGACTCACCCGTGTCGCACCAAGTGTCCGAATTCCGTTCCTTTTGTGACCGAACGGTGCTCCGTTGTACACGTGGCCCCCATTCACCTGTCGATGGACACGTGGGTGCTCCTCCCCTGGGCTGCTGGGAACGACGAGGACTGCAGGGGACGCTGGTTGGTGCACGAGTGTCCGTCTGAGTCCCGGCTTTTGATTACTTTGCATAACGTTCAGGAGTGGGACTGCTGGGCGGCGCGGCCCTTCCGTGTGGCTTTCTGGACTAAACGGAGCGGACCATGTTTTACAGCATGGTCAGAGGGGCAGCGAGGGGCTGCCCCTTTCTGCACGCCCACCCCCAGCAGCAGCAGCAGCAGCGGGCAGGGGGCCCCGGTCTCTCCACGTCCTCACCAGCACGTGTCACTGCCCGTCGTTTTAACTGGAGACGTCCTAGTTCATGTTCAGTGCCGTCATTGTGGCTTCGATCTGCGTTTCCCTGATGGCTGTGACCTTGGGCGTCTCTTCGTGTGCTGGTCGGTCCCTCGTGTCGTTTTTGGAGAAATGTCCACGTGGATCCTTCGCCCTTTTTTTTATCGGGTTGTCTGTCTCGGGTGTCGAGTGTAAGGTGGTTTGTACAGTCTGGATCCAACCCCTCGTCAGACGACCGTTTGCACTTCGGTCTTCAGGAGAAAAATTACGGGGGTTTTGTTTCGCTGACAGTAACTCCGTTTTCCTTCCCTCTCCCAGCCTGGTACCGTCGGTCTGGGGAGGTTCTGTGTGCTCCAGCAGAGTCTGGAGGTGCGTGTAAGGTCATCACTCATTGTTTTCTACGCCGCACGGCTTGTTTGTGTCTTCCTCTCCCGCGCTGATTTCCCGTGGAGAGATGGGGGCCCTCCTGACTGCAGGAAGGGTTCTGCAAAGTCAGACAAGACCCGACAGCTACTACTGCCACACCAGGCAGAGCAGCTCGGGGTCGGGGACGGGTCAGCCTTGACCGCAGGAGTTGCTCCCAGGAGCCACAGTGGAGCTTTCCCCGGGGGTCGGGTCGACCTGGTGGTCTTTCCCGCACGTTAGCACTTGAATACTCACTGAGATAGTAGCTCTCTGCGTGGCGTGTTCGGGGCTCACGAAAGACGGTGAGAGCTCCTTCTGCAGACAGTGGCTGCGCTTTCCACTTTGTAGCAGAGGCGCGGGTGGGACCTGGGGCTGGCCGGTAGTGTGTTTGAACCGCTCGTGTGCGGCCCGGCGCGCACCAGGCTCTCGGGGATGGTTCTGTGAGAGGCTGAGCTCTCTGAGTAACTCCTTAGAGCCACGTGCAGCGGCGGGTCCTGTGCGTCCCGTAGATCCCGTGAGTGTGTCCTCAGGCTCGGAAACAGAGTCAGAATTTCCCCACGTGGTCCAGAACGGGGGTGGGGGGTGGGGCTGGGTGGAGAGGGCTCCTTCTGTGGGTAAGAAAGGTCCTTCAGACTACTTAGTGCTTTCCTTTAGGGTTGCGGGAAGAAAATAAGGGTTAAGGCTACTGCTTTGGCTTTTATGTTAAAGACCCAAATTTCATTTAAAGTATGTGGGTTTTTTTTTAAAAGATTTTATTTACTCTTTTTTTTTTGAGAGAGGGGAAGGGAGGGAGAGAAACATCAGTGTGTGGTTGGCTCTCGCACAGCCCCCACTGGGGACCCAGCCCCACAACCCCGGTATGTGCCCTGACTGGGAACTGAACCAGCGACCCTTTGGTTCTCAGGCCAGCACTCAGTCCACTGAGCCACTCCAGCCAGGGCTAAAGAATGTATTCTTCAATCTGAAAACGGTCAAATGACTCTGGTTACAGTCCAGACATCTGTATTCTGCCCCAAATTGATATTTATCGGACTCAAGGTTGGCCCCAAGATTGACTGTGATTCTCTCTTGAGTGTGTGCTTTATGCTTTTCAGAACTTCGGGGTCCTACTCTGCAGCCAAAACCCCTCACCCCGTGCTGACCCCGCTGGCCACTAACAACCAAGCTAAGCAGGTAAGCCCCTGGCTTTTTGCTTTGATAACAGTCATGCAGTAAAACTTAATCCTGTTCTGGTCCTCACGTTGTTTTAAATGAGCTGTAAGTGTGACAGAGACCTGCGGTCCCTTCCCCGCGGTTCACGCCAGTCCTGACGCCCAGCAGGCTGGTCAGGGCTTCCCACCGTCTTCACGGGCTGCGTGACGTCCTGCGTGCTGTCCTGCGTGCAGTCATCCTGGGTCCCCGTTCTGTCACCTAATCTTCACACGGGTGTTCGGAGCTGCAGCCGCTTCCTGCCTGTCCCCCGCAGCAGCCACGTGCGGTGGGCCAGCAGGTGTTGGACACGGAGCACCTGAGGCTCGGCGGCGAGTGTGGGTGCCCACGGTCCTCGGGCGGGAGCAGGGCTGGGCCCCCGTCTCCGGCGCCTCCCGCCTGTGCCTGGTACGTGCTCCATCGCCTGTCCAGTGGCTGTGTCTGCGGCCCATCCCCCGGAGCTCGCACATCCTGGGACGCGTGCTGGGTCCCCTTTCCGGCTCCCGCGTCACAAACACTGTCTCTCACGAACACCGGCCGTGTGGTCAGCAGGCACAGAGGCTGGCCGGCAGGGAGCCCGAGCCGTCCCAGGAACCCCGCCGCCCGCACCGTGCTCTCGGGGACGCGTGGTCTCGGGTCGGGGCTGAGGCTGAGCGTCAGGACTGGCCTGGCATCCGTCCTCGGTCACGGCTCCCTCTGCTCCCTGCTTTGCTGTGACGCAAAATGGCATTTAAGCATTTGGTCATTCTTCTGGAAGTTTCCACATTCACTTCGGTGGACACAGGATAAGGGACTAGTTGCAACAAACAAGAGTAAAGAAACATTGACTGAAGGTGGAAAAGTCGAAGAGTTTTGCTTTTTCAGCTTGTTACAAATTTATTGAGAACCAAAACTCACTTCATTCATTACTGTTTTATGCGTTTGTCTGCCTGACAAACACCCCAGTGCCTTCCGTGTGCGGAGCAGGACGGGCCCGGCCCCGCCCCGTCGGCACTTGCGGAAGGAGCGTCCCCTTCTGAGACGCCGTCGGAGGCGTGTTATGAACTGCACTGTCACTGCACGTGTCTGCTGTCCCGAGGACGTTCGGGGTCTCCCTCACACGCTGTGCTTGTGCTCTCCCGTAGGGGCCGCTGGTAAACCCCCTCAAGCTGCCTGGGCCCGCGCCCGCCTCCACTCAGCTGCCGTCCAGCGACAAGGCTGCAGGTCAGTTTGCGTTTCTGCCGTGGAGAGAGCACCGGTGAGAGGGGCGCCCGCCGCAGACCGCAGAGGTCTGAGTCACCCAGACGGTCGGCCCGGGGAGCCGGGTGCAGGGACGTCACAGGGCCTCGGTGGCTGCAGACGCTCCAGGACACCCGTGACCCCTCAGCGACCCTGCAGGCCTCCGGAGTTGGAGAGCAGTGGGCACACCCTTCCCGCAGCTGCTTCTCCCGAACAGGCGCCGTGGGCGGCCCCCCAGCCAGGTGGAGGGGAGCGGGTTGGAGCACTGGACGCTGTCCCTCCTCCGGGGAGAGCGCAGACTTCCCTGGGCTCGCAGTGACGGTTCAAAGGCCAGTGAAGTACACAGAGTGGAACGATGTCGTTCAGTGTGCGATTTCAGAGCAGGGGTGGCGTCGGCACCAGAGTCCATGACTTCGCCTACTTGCAACACCCACTCAAGCACAGTGGTTCTCACTGAAGTTCACTTGGCCGTAGGCGCGCCGCCCCGCAGGCGTCCGCACTGCCCGAGGGCACTTGGGGCAGGAGCGAGCTTTCACAGAGAACCGAGTTCCCCCGGGGGCCCGTCCGCCGCAGCTCCTGCCGGTGTCACCGCTTTCCGGGGCGCGTGCTGCTCTCTGCGCCAGCGGTCGTGTGCTGGCTGCGGTCCTCCTCTTGCACCACGCTCGGGGCTCCGGCTCTCGCTTCATCACTTTTATTTCATTTCGTTCACAGGTTTTATTAATTAATTTTCTTATTTATTTATCGTTAGAGGGGGAAGGGAGGAGAAAGAGAGGGAAACATCAGTGTGTGGTTGCCTCCCCCTGGGGACCCGGCCCTCAACCCAGGCCTGTGCCCTGACTGGGAATCGAACCAGCGGCCTCTCAGTTTGCAGGCCGGCACTCAGTCCACTGAGCCACAGCAGCCAGGGCCAGGTTTTATTTTGATGCATGTTTTCAGGGGGGTCTTCAAGCTCATTCGGTGGGACTTGCTGAACCTCGCATGGTAGCAGTCTGCTGTCCCTGATCTCCCCTCAGTCGTGCACTCGCAGAGGACTCTCTCTGCAGTCAGAAGCGTCCTTGTGGACAGTGGGAGCATCTGCACTGAACGCTCTCTGAGCCCCGCCCTCAGAAGGAGCCCACGTTGGCTCCGGGGTCCGGGTCGCGCCGAAGCACAGCTGCGGTCATCTGTGCCTCGCACGCGGGGACGCTCGCTGCACGTGCTTCTTGGCGAGGGTCTGAAGCCTCGTGGTAGAAGGAGGGTTCTAGTGGGGCAGAAGGCGTCTGAGTCACCTGGGGTGCAAATGAAGACATTTGTTCCCGTTCCTGGCTAATATTTTAGAAAAAACTTGAGAGATCTCGTGTCCTAACTTGAAGGACTTCATCGGAGAGTTCTTTTACTCCTCGGATGAAGAGTCAGTGATCTCTGAGAGACTTTGCCTTGCAGTGTCTCACACAGCCGGCATGCCTGGCAGAGATCACTTAGTGGCGGTGGTGGTGAAACATTCTCTCGTGTTGCTGGGCGTTTGCTTTTGTGTTCACTTGCTGGAGAGTCAAAAGAAAAGGGCTTTTTGGGGGGTAGGAAAATTTTCCTGAGAAATACTATTTGAGAATTTGCCGAAAATTTAGTTTAGAAAGCGTATCTGAAACCTCTATACAATAACTCTCTGACAACTGATCGTGGACATGCCTTCACTGTCCCCTCCCCCTTGGCTGTGTGGGACGCCTGTGCGGCCCGCAGGCCTAGGGGCCTGCTCTGCCCACCACGCCGCTGCCACGGTCACAGGCCTGAACCGTGTCTCTGACTGGCTTTTTGTCATGTTCTCATTTTTCCCCCCATTTCAGGGCCGGGGGCGACCAAGACGGAAACCGCCGTGACGTGCACCCCGTCTGCAGTCGGGCCGTTCGGCAAGACCTTCTCCTTCTCTTCGCCAGGGTCAGTAGCGAGCTCCGGTTTCGTGGCCCTTCACTGGCAGCCTGGGTGGGCAGCGCCCCCAGATCCCACGGTCGGTCGGTACAGTGCTCGTGAAATGCACAGGAGCCCAGAGTTCTTACCGCTGCAGGAGCACACGGAGAGTAGGGCAGCAGCCCGAGGCCCTGCTGTACGTCTGTTTCCCCTCTTCCGTTCGGGCTTGTACGTGTGCTGCTCCCTGTCGTTTTGGTCTTCAGGAGAAGCCTCGCTGTCTTCGGCTCACGGGCCTGTGTCACACAGTTCAGTCGGCCTGGTCCGTCATACTGAGCTACTTGCACTCGGGCCGTCTGGGGCCGACGTGACATTCACATTGGCCTTCCTGCACGGAGCGGGGCGCTCAGCGAGCTTCCGAGGGAATGCTACCCTCGGAGGGAGGGGGCAGGGGCAGGCCGCCACCTCTGGGGGCCGCCCGCGTCCTCGCTCTCCACGGGTGGAGCTGGACTCCGTGCGGCTGGGACGCAGACCCGCCCGCGGACTTTCCGCCATCGGAGGGCGGTGCGCTCCGTCCCGTCGGAAAAGCCCCTCGGTCTCCTTCAGTCAGTGTGCAGTCACACTGACCACGCTCTTTGCTCCGACGTTGCAGAATGCTCTTTGAGCATTTTGCAGGCCTAACGCGTTAAAAGAAAAGAGGATGTTAGGATTTGAGAGGGGAAATTGTATGTTGTATGATTTCTCCTCTCCTGTAAATTGTCGTTTTATGCAGGGTGCGGCAGAGGTGACACCTGCTTGACTGCAGTCGGTGGGGTGCGTGCCCGTCCCGCACGAGGTGGACAGCAATGTGAATGTTCCACCTAAAATGTCACAGGGTGCTTGAGTGTGGTGCTGTTACGTTACAGCGTTACATGCTTATGACTTTGTAATACAAGGTTTTGTCATAACAAGGGGTGTGCCTCCCAAAGGTACTTCAGAGCACGTTTTAAAGAGTAGTCATCGCTAGGAGTCAGTGCGTTTTTTACAGATGCTGATGAGTCTTCTTTACTTCTGTGAACCGATACTCTTCTTCCCACTTTTAAAATAAGCTAAAAAGGTTTGGGTTATTGGGTTAATGGCTTACCTCCATTAGATAAAATTTCTCCACCAAGGTGGAGGCAAAGAAAAAGAGTTTTTCTTAAATACGGTAAACAGTTTAACACCCCATTTTAGATGGTCTTTGTCCGTTTGATGAAGGCCACGATGGGTGAAAAATCTAAACTTCCGCATTGCTTATTACATTTGATGTGCTGGGTCCCTTACATTTTAAAGTTACATCAATTTAAATGTGCTGCTTGAGCTTTCATCCCAATAACAAGTCTACTCCGCTGACACCTGGGCTGACTCGCCTCTTCGGCTGCCACGTCCGCATCGTGGCACGGGGCCAACGTACAGGAGGCGGAGGAGGTGGGGGGGTCGGGACAGGGTGTGGACCAGGCTTTCCTGGCCCAGGGCCGAGGGGCGCGCGGACGACAGCGACGGCGGCCTCCGTGTCGGGCTCCCCACCCAGTGACGTCGGGACGGGTTACGAGCGCGTCCCCCTAATCCAGACTGTCTGTGTCCTGCACTGGGCGGGCCCCTGCCCCAGCCACCATCCCCACGTGCGCACGGCCCTGTGTCTGTGCTGCTGCTGCTCCTCTGTCCTCCTCGGAGTGGGCCCCAGCCCGGCCGCCCCCCCCTCCTCCCCCGCGGCCTTCTCAGCCGCTGCTCCCACTCGCCTCCCCACAGGCGGCCCCTGCCACAGAGCTCGTGGGTGCCTGCCTGCCCCGCAGGCGCGTGCTCTGCGCCCTGCCCCCTGCTGGCTGCCGCACTGTGCGTTCCCGCGGAGCGGGCCGCATGGGGCAGCGTGGCGTGGTGTGTTAGGAGGGGGTGCGGCGCCTCGGTGGTGACCCTCTCCTCTTTCTCTCCCAGGACCGGCTTCAGTTTCGGGATAATCGCACCGACGCCATCCTCTAATTTCACCGGCACGCAAGGTACGGCCCCTGTCACGCAGCGTTACTCTCGTCTTTCCCCCGGACCAGTGCCAGGGTCTCGTGCGCCGAAGCGTTGGCCGTTTCCTTGCCGCTGAGTCTTGCCCGAAGCATTTGCCCTACGTTTACCGTGGGTGCCACCCGTCCGAATAGGCTGGTCCGTGACTACCCCAACGCTGTGCCAAGAGTGGCACCAAGGAGAGCGCACACGGGGGAGAGGAAGGGCGGACACCGTCTCATTTCTCTTGTGGGGCAGGGAGGTAGCTGTAGGCGTTGCAGCGATGCCACGGGTGTGGTGACGTACGGGCATGAGGACGGCCGTGCGTGTCAGCAGCGAGGTGCCTCGCAGAGCGAGCGGCGCCGTGGAGGGCACGCACCGCCCTCCCCGGGGGGACCACTGTTGGCAGCCGCCGTCCCTGCCCGTGTCAGCGGAGGGGCTTTGGCTTGGAAACAGTCCATGGAGAGGTGATGGTCATATTCTGCTACATCCACCCCGTTCTCTGCTTTCTTTGTCTTACCAGGGGCAGCACCCCCCGCTAAGGAGTCCAGCCAGCTGGACACGTTCTCGTTTGGCGGGGGCGGCAAGCCTTTACCTGAGACTGTTTCCGAAAGCTCGCCTCCCTCAGTGGTGACAGCAGCGTCGACCGCCCCTGGAGCTGCTCCCGCCCCCCCGGGAGAGCCTGCTGCGTCGAACGGCAGGCCTGCTCTCAGCACCCCTCCCGGCAAGCTGGAAACCCCGCCATCCAAGTTGGGGGACCTGCTGTTCCCAAGCTCTTCGGCTGGCGAGACTCTCGGCAGCTTCTCGGGGCTGCGGGTCGGCCCAGCCGATGACTCCGCGAAGCCCGCCGGTAAGGCTGCGTCCGCAAGCCTGACGAGCGCACAGCCGGCCAAGACCCCCCTCGTCCCCTCCGGGTTCACCTTCGCTGGCCCTCCCACCGTGGGCAAGCCCGCGGAGCTTCCCGCTGCCTCCTCTGGGGCTGCTGCCGCCCCCGCGCAGGTGCCGGCTGCCGGCACGAGCACGAGCGGGGCCTCGGCGGGCGTCTTCGGCGGCCTGCCCCTCACCAGTGCGGGGTCCTCCGGGCTCGTGAGCTTCAGTGGCCTCTCTCTGGGCGGCGGCAAGACTGGGTTTTCCTTCGGAAGCCAGCAGACGAGCCACACGGCACCCCCGTCGGCCCCTCCGTCAGCCACCGCTGCCCCGTCCCACCCCACGTCGTTCCCCGTGATGTCGTGCGGCGGCAAGACTGGGTTTTCCTTCGGAAGCCAGCAGACGAGTCACACGGCACCCCCGTCTGCCCCACCGTCAGCCACCGCTGCTCCTTCCCACCCCACGTCGTTCCCCGTGATGTCGTTCGGTGGCCTCCTGAGTTCAGCCCCCGCACCCACCCTCCCTGCGTCCTCTGCTAAAGGCACCGAGGAGGCGACGTCGGCGTCTGTGCCCGAGAAGCCAGGCAGCAGCGAGGTCTTGGCGGCGGCGGCCTCGCTTCCAGGGCCGCCACAGTCGGCCCCGCTTCCCCAGGCTCCTCTGCAGACCCCCGACTCCGTCAAGAAAGAGCCTGCGCCGGCCCAGCCCACGGGCAGCGGCCCTGGTGCCGCAGCGGCAAGCGCCAGTCTCCCGGCACCTCCTGCAGAGGCCGTGCCGGCAGCCCCCGAGGTCCCCGACGTCAAGGCAGAGGCGGCCTCTCCTGCGTCCTCCCTCTCGGCGCCTGGGCCGGCTGCCGTCACCGCAGCCCCAGCCCCAGCCCCAGCCCCAGGTGCAGGCCCTGTGACGGCAGAAACATCAGGTGCCCCCGCGGCCACGAGCGCTGTTCCCAGTGCGGCCCCGAGCCCCGCCCCAGACACGGCGGTGTTCGGGGCCGTCACGTCTGGCTCCTCTGTCTTCACCCAGCCGCCTGCTGCCAGTGCCAGCTCAGCCTTCAGCCAGCTCACCAGCAGCACGGCCACCGCCCCCTCGGCTGCCCCTGTGTTTGGGCAGGCGGCATCCAGCGCCGCACCGAGCCTGTTTGGGCAGCAGGCGGGCAGCGCGGCCAGCACGGCCACCGCCGCACCACAGGCCAGTGGCTCGGGGTTCGGCAGCCCGGCGTTCGGCACCTCGGCCACCACCGGGGTCTTCGGGCAGACGGCGGCCTTCGGGCAGGCCCCGGCCTTCGGGCAGGCGACGAGCGGCCCGGCGAGCAGCTTCTCCTTCAGCCAGCCTGCCTTCAGCTCCGGGCCCGCCTTCGGCCAGCCCGCGTCCTCCGCGCCCACGTCCACCAGCGGGAGCGTCTTCGGGGCCTCTTCGGGCTCCAGCAGCTCCAGCTCCTTCTCCTTCGGACAGTCGTCTGCCGGCGCGGGCGCGGGGGTGTTTGGCCAGAGCACCCCCCCTGCCTTCGGCCAGAGCCCTGGCTTCGGGCCGGGGGGCTCCGTGTTCGGGGGTGCCTCTGCTGCCACCACCACGGCGGCGTCCTCGGGGTTCAGCTTTTGTCAGGCGTCAGGTGAGCATTATAACGGAAGGCTTCTGCCTTGTCCCCTCCTCCACGTTACCCGCAGCACTGGCAGCGAGCCAGTGTTGCCTCCGTAGTCAGGGGAGAGGGGAGGGCCTGGACGACTGTGCACAGTCCAGGGCAGCGCCCAGTGCTGACGGCCCCGGGTGTTCCTCGGCCCGGGCGCTGTGGGCTCGTCCGCCCTCCTCAGCACGCCCTCCTCTCTCCTGACAGCAGGGTGCTGACTGCACAGTAACACGGTTAAGGTCGTGACGTGTGATGCGTGGGTCGTCTTAGACAGGAAAGTGTCCATTCAGGAGCACATTAGAGGTCATGGCATGCAAAAGCGTCCAGCCGTAGAGGGGCCGGCCTGTCGCCACTGAGAGCCCACAGACCAGAACTGCGCCCGAGCCCCTGGCCACGGCCCCGCCAGCGTTTTTGGTCTCCACCGGCGTTTCTGGTCTCCGACGCCACCTTTCTGGCTGGGGGGACAGGTACCGACGTTCGAGAAGTTTGGTCTTCCTGTGTGTGGTGTTGTAGTTTAAAAACAAGAATGAAATCTTTGCATTTTACTTTTTGGAAAACTAAAATGTAATTTCTGCTGCACATCCAGTTGTAGCAGCTCCTTTTTAAAATTTTGCAGCAGAACGATTTGAAACCTGTTTCCGAAGGTTCCCTTCCTGACGGCCAGCTCATGGAAGGCGGTTCTTCTGTGGGGGGACTCTGGGGAAAACAGGGTTATTGGTTTCTTTGTGGGTAGGGCTCCGAGCAACCTCGAGTTCATTCCCTCGGTGGTAACTTGTTTGAGAATGGCTCCTCGTTTATTAGAAAGGAAATCTTTTCTTTCCTTCCTTCAAGACACGTTTGTTCAGCTTTCTCTGAGTTTGACTCCAAGGACTTGGGGGTGGGACACGGCCCCGGGGCCCGCCTGCCGGCCTGGGAAGAGTCAGGACACTGGTGACCTGACCTCGAGGGAGGACAGGGGAGGCCTCGTGAGTCCCAGGGAGTGGGACATTCGGCCCCCTCTCTTCGGCATCCCTTGTTCAGTCAGAACCTGAAGTCCCCCCTGCACGCACACAGACGGTTCTGTCATAATCAGAGGCCTCAGAAGACGCCGTCTCTCCTGCAGTAGCTGTGGAGAAGCCCCTGAGCCGCCACTCCAGCCCTGGCTGAGGAACGGGGGCCTGCCTGTGCTCCCCTGCCTCGTCCAGCGATGGGAGGGGGGCTGGCGCTCCTGTCTCCCAGCTCCGTCGGGTGGGGCTCTTGCTGTGCCACGGCGCTGGCCCGGCCTCCCCAGCCCTGTTCGGCCCAGCACCTCACCCGCGGGGGGAATGCCATGCCGAGGAAGGACAGACTGCCCCGAGAGAGTCTGCTCTGGGAGGTCAGAGGAAGCCAGGGCGCAGACGTGTGCGTGGGGTAGCGGTGGGGAAGACCCCTTGGTGGCTGAGAGTCCCGGGCACAGCTCCTCCCAGGAGGCCCCGCCCCGGCCCCACCCCCTCGGGCCTGGCGGGAGGCAGGACTCGGTCCTTGGGGCTTTGGGGTTCTTGCGATGATCATGTGTTAACGAAGCAAAAATACCTGCGTTTACTTATGACTTTCCTCATTTCCTAGATGGGAGGACAGAGTTCATTCAGGGGTTGATTTATTGTGCCGTATCTCAACATGTTTAGCGGCCATTTTTAGAAAAACTTTGGTATTGTAAAAGACCCGCCCAATTTAAACCCTTACTCTCCTTTTACTTTATAGGTTTCGGGTCTAGTAATACTGGTTCTTTGTTTGGTCAAGCCGCCAGTGCCGGGGGGACAGTCTTTGGCCAGGTAAGCATGGGTGTTGGGCTCTGTTTGTGGCAACGGCTCCCAGCCCCGCCCTCTCGGCCCCGCACACGCTGGGTCGGTGCGCCTGGTGCACCTCGCCCCAGCCTCTGATCCGAGGGGATCACTGCCTGCCGACCCTTCTTTAAAAGGAAGCACGTCGCCTGACCTCCGTTGGCCTTTGGTGCACTACAGCCCAGGGGCTAATAGTCCTTCCTTCCTTCCTTCCTTCCTTCCTCCCTCCCTCCCTCCCTCCCTCCCTCCCTCCCTCCCTCCCTCCCTCATAGAGCTGAGAATGGTTGTTACCTTCTTAAGTGGTTATTTAAACAAAAAGAAAAATATGCAAGAAACCAGGGACTCCTTTTGGTGACCTGAGCTGTTTTGCATGGCTAGTAGCTCTCTGTGTGCTGGGCGTGGTTTTAAGTGCTTTATGTAAATTGACTTCTGTCATCATAGTACTTCCGTCAGGCAGGTGCCGTCGGGTCCTCGTGAGACAACGAGGACCCCGAGGGCCCGGAGGTTGCCACCATTAGGTCATAGTAACCCCAGGAGGAGCCCTCCTGAAGAGAGGCGCTCCTGTCTGTTGGGGGACCATGACTTCCTGAAGGTGGGACTGGTATTTGTGCACAGTTAGGGAAGTGCAGGGCGTGTCACTTGTTTTTATACATCTTCGGGAAGAGATTCCTTCAGCGTCTGTCTCCTTTGAAGATGGGCTCTGCACTAGTCGGTGATCCTGGGCAGAGAGAAATGGAACTTCTGGTCTCCGGTTTCCGGTGATGGGGGTCAGACCTCTCAAACCCAGTTCGCCCCTGAACACAGCTGAAACTGCTAGATGAAACATGAAGCCAGAATTCTTAAAAGCGCTCGTGAGCTGACAAGGTAGTTTGCCGAATCGCCAGGAAAATGGGAACCTGTGGCAGTGATGGAGCACAGAACCCAAGTTCGCCCTGAAAGTGTCCACTGGTCTGGGAAGATTGGAGTTTCCTGTTTTGATAACCTGGAAGGGCCAAGGAGCAGAAGTCGCCATCCCAGGTACGCACAAAGGGAGCGGTGCTCCCCACGGTGAGCCGGGGCTCCGGGCGCGCCGGCCCCAGCCTGCGCGTGTGGCCTGGCGCGGTGCTGGGGCGGCCGTGTCTGCAGCCACCGGACCGAAGCAGCAGGCGCTGAAGAAAAGCAACATGACGCTCAGCCTCGAGTAGTTAACGTCATGGGAGCACAGCCCGAGCACAGCATCGGTTTCCGGCGTCCAACACGGTGACTCGGCGTTTGTCTGTCTTACCACGTGCTCGCCACACTAAGTCTAGGAACTGTCCGTCACCACGTCAGCTCGCCCCTCTGTTACTGGCTGTGTTCTTGTCCACCTCGGGTCATTTCTGAGGGTCATTTCTGGGGACGTTGGTCCCCAGACTTAGTCACAGCGGGAACCAAGGAACCGTGATCAAGAGCCAGGACAAACATCAGGCGCACAGGGACCCCCAGAGCAGCCCGTTTCCCGCCGCCTTCGTCTCCTGCCCACGTCACCTCAGGGCTGGAATTCTGCAGCACACTAAAAACGTATTTTTTGCCAATCAGACAGAAAAACAGGTATAACTGTGATCGATTCACATCAGACAGCCATTGTAGTGTTGGCTGTTACCATTTTTAACCTGACAGTCTAAGGGAAAAGAGGTCAGTGCCCCCGGCTTGGTCAGGTTTTAAAAACTCTTGCAGCACACTGGTCGAAAATCACTGTCCTAGGCTGTAAAACAGTTGGGCTTTACGCGTTTAGAAGAAATAGAAGACCAACTTGAAAATACCAGTAAAAAATAGGAAATTACAAGAAGTGTCATAACAGCTTTGAAAAAGAACCAAATAGATCTTGTAGAAAAATATAACTAAAATTTTATGTAACCAGATTAGACCCACGTGAAGAGAACAGTAATATACTAGGCCAAGGGTCAGCAAGCCTCTTCTGTAGAGAGCCCGATAGGAAACATTTTAGACACTGAGGACTTGGTTATACTTCCATAAAACCTTATTTATAAAACCAGAAGGCTGGATTTGGCCCATCGAATATAGCTGGCTGAACCTTGAACTAGAAACCAATTCGGATTAAGTTACCTGGACTGCCTCACGGAAGATGCAAAAGCAAAAGTCCTAAAAGGGGAAACTCAATGTACATTTAATCAGACGGAGGGGCAAGAGAAGGAATGCGTGGCAATGTAAGAAAAGACCCAGACAGAAATTTCGGGAAGCAACAGAAAGAGTATGCCACAGGTTCCGAAGTCTGACAGATGCCACGCAGGACGGGTGAAAGGAGGTCGAGTCCAGGACCTCGACCCGCAGGACGAGGAGGGTGAAAGGTCAGAGGCACGCGGAGAAAGCAGGGCCGGAGCGGGTCTGCCGTCCCGAACCCTCCAGACCCGGCGGAAGCTGTTTCTGCAGGACGTGAGCCGCGCGTCTTCCAGGCGGACGCCGAGAGCGCTTCGCCGGGGGGGCCTGGTGGAGATTCCGGCGGGCGTTCTTCGGGCGGAAGGAAAACTTGATCTCGTTCGATCACAGCTTTCTTAATTTTAGGGCAAAACGAGCTATGAAATAGGAGAGTTGCAGCGTATATAACCGAAAGAATAGTTGTATTCAGAAAATATAAACAATACCAACCAAAAAGAAGAGAGAACTGCGCCCCCCACCGCAACGGCCGGCGCCGGAAGGGCTGCCGACAGACACCCGGTGGCGGCGAGGACGGGGAACGAGGAGGAGCACCCACACCTTGCTGGTGGCGGGTTGCTCGCCTTCGAAGGTCGTCCAGTGGGACCGAGACTGGAGACGCGAGGTTCCTGCTTCCAGACGCGGAGGCAGCGGGAGAACCGAGCGCCCTTGTTCTGAGGCCGTGGACGAGGGCGTCCGGGGCAGGAAAGGGGGTGCGAAGGAGCCTTGTGACGTGCTAACGAGGTCAGACGTGGGGCTCGTCCACCGTCGTCAACACTCTGAGGTCAGAGTCCACTCGGCGCTCTGCACAGGAAACCTGGGCACCGCATGAAGACGACAGAAAGGGGGTCGGTGATGACTCCATTGAAACGGGCAGCGGTGGCCGCACACGCTGTGAATGTGCTCACGCCACTGGGCTGTGCACTTAAAAACACTTAAGACTGTAAGCTTTACGTATATATTACAGCAGTTTTTTTACAACAGTTAGAAATGGGGGCGGATAGCCAGGGACTAATAACGTATTCAAATTAGTTAGTAATACAAATTAAAACCACAGAGAGCTGCAGAATTAGTGTTACGAGTATAGCATTTTTGTTTGAAAAGATGAGAAAGCCCTAGAAATCGGTGGTGGCAATAGCAGCCCAGCGCTGAGTGTACTTAATACCAGCGAGCCATACTCTTAACATGGCAAGTTTTACATTACATACACTTACCACAATAAAAAATAAAGACAAAGGAGGTTAAAAAGTTACTTTTAAAACAAGAAGAATAGGCCCTGGCTGGTGTGGCTGAGTGGACTGAGCGCCAGCTTGTGAACCGAACAGCTACTGGTTTGTGTCCCGGTCAGGGCGCACAGCTGGGTTGCTGGCCAGGTCCCCAGTAGGGGGTGCATGAGAGGCAACCACACCCGGATGTTTCTCTCCCTCTCTTTCTCCCTCCCTTCCCCTCTCTCTAAAAATAAATAAAGTCATTTAAAAGACAAAACAAGACGAGTAGGCAAATTCATAGAGTCAAAAATTAAATGAGCGCTTACGAGTGTCCGGGCGGAGGAGGAGCTGGGGACGTGATTGCTCAGTGGTCTCAGGATTCTAGTTGCGGCGGTGAGGACGCTTTGGAAACAGGTGGTGGTGGTGGTGGTCGCACAACACCGTGGCTAGAGTTAGTGCCGCCGGGGCGTGCACTTCAAAGTGGGTATAAGATGGCACATTTTATGTTTTTTATATATATATAAAAATGTAAATACCAAAAACCACTGAATTTTTTACTTTGAGTCAGTTCTGTGGTGTATGAATGATGCCCCAATAAAGCTGTTTCAAAAACAACCACAACTACAAATTGGGGTCTGAAAGACTTGCACCTAATACAACAGTAATTTGCTCAGTGTAAAAGCCCCCCAGTCCACCCCCCACCCCAACTTCTGCCAGTAAGAAACAGGAAGTGAGGGCAGGACTGGGAAACGAAAGAGCTTGCGGTCTTGTGATCTCCCGTTGCCAGGAACTGCTGGATCCCAAGGTGGCCCGGCTGCCGCGAACACAGAGCGAGACGGATAAACTGAGCCCGAAGCAGAGACAGCAGCCCGGGGCCTCCGTCCCCGCGCAGCTGCAGGCGAGGTCTGCACGCTGCCCCCTCACGGCGGGGTCCAGGTGCAGGAGAGGGCCCACGCGCTGGGGAGACCGTCAGGCTGCTTCGGGCACCCCACGGCTGTGCACAGAGTGTCCTCCTGTGCACAGAGACCAGGGCGTGCGCCCCTCCCCCCGAGTGATAGTGTAACGTGCGGAGCCGTGAAAACAAAAGGGGACCTCACAGTCACATTCTGGAAATCAGCAGAAACAGCATGTAGACGGTGCAGGTCTTGGAACTGTCGGATAGAGTCTTTAGACTAACCGTTGTGTCACACTCGAGGACTTACCAGGAAGCGAAGGAATGATTGATAAAGAGTCTCAGCAGACAAATGGGAATTACAAGAACAAACTTCTGTGCCCAAAGTTAAAACTCAGTGTCTGAAGTAAGAAGTGGCTAGACAGGACAGCAGCGGAGTGAGGGCTGCAGAAGAGCAGGGGACTTGGGGACAGGTCAGCAGAAGTGACCCGAACGGAGCTCCGGGGCCGGGGAAAGGCAGACCGTGAGTGACGAGAGCGGCAGCAGCAGGCAGTCCACTGTGCTTGTTGTCAGGGTCCCAGGGAGAGGGGACAGAGAGGGTTGGAAAAAATTCCCTGAAGCCCTGGCTGGTGCAGCTCAGTGGATTGAGCTAGGGCTGAGAACCAAAGGGTCGCCAGTTCGATTCCCAGTCAGGGCACATGCCTGGATTGCAGGCCAGGTCCCCAGTGGGGGCCATCTGAGAAGCAACCACACACGGATGTTTCTCTCCCTCTCTTTCTCCCTCCTTTCTCCTCTCTCTAAAAATAAATAAATAAAATATTTAAAAAGAAAAAAATTGCATGAAGAAACTGTGGCCAATCTTTTGTTTCAAATTTGTTGGTAAACAGGCATCCACGGATCTAAGAAATTCAGAATAAACACTAGAAAACCACAACTGGACACATCAGCGTTCACCTTCCAAAAACCAAATGTTAAAAAAGGAATTTTTTAAAAGATTGTATTTATTTATACTTAGGGGGAGGGGAAGAAGAAAGAGAGGGAGAGAAACGTCAATCTGTTGCCTCTTGCACACGCCCCAACCGAAGACCAAACCTGCAGCCCAGGCGCGTGCCCAGACCGGGAACTGACCAGCGGCCTCTCTCTTTGTGGTGTGATGCCCAGCCAACCGAGCTGTACCAGTCAGGGCAAAAGAGGACTCTTAAAACACCTGTGCTACCTTGGAGCAGACCAGCGGTTGTCAGCCAACATTGGTCTTGTCCCCCAGGGGACTGTCGAGGTCGCAGTGTCTGGAGACCTGCGTGGTCCTTGTGAATGGGGAACTCTACTGGCATCGAGTGGGCGCGGGCCGGGGGTGCGCCAGGCCCCCCGCAGCCCTCCGGATCACAGAACTGCCCGGCCCAGGGTGTCAGCAGTGTCGGTTGGCAGCAGCAGCAGCTAGGCAAAGATTCTTTAGGGCACCGAAGGCACTGACCATAAAAGAAGAAAATCGAAACCTGGACTTCGTTAAAATGACAAACTAGTGCTCATCAAGAGACTTGTTGCGAGATGAAAAGGCAGGGCGCAGGCGGGGAGGAGATATTTGTAACACGTATCAAGCCAGACGGCTTCTGTCTGCAGTGTACGGCGTGGAGCACGGAAGCAGGTGTGCGTTGCTGAGTACGCCTCCAAGAAGAGCTGCTTCTTGCGTTACTCTTTGTTTATTGTCTTTCACACGAACAACTGGAAACCTGCTTTCGCGCCTGCCTGTGTAAAGAGCTCCTGTGAATCAAAAATAAAAGGACACCCAGTTTGAAAAGTAAACCAGGTGCCTGGACAGAAACTGACGGAAGAGGACACGAGGCGAGTGGCAGTGAGCACGCGGAGGGCAGCTCGGTGTGGCTGGTCCTCAGGGGCGTGCAGGTGGCACCCATGGCACAGTGTGGCTCTGCCCCCGCCGGGGCAGCCGGACGTGGGGACGGCCCAGGGCGGCGGCCTCCGGCCGGCACGCCACAGGGGTTTCCGAAACACACAGTGCCGGCCCGTGCAGCCGGGCTCTGCCCGCTTTTCCCTCAGACCATCAGGCGAAACGGTGACGACAGCCAGTACAACAATGGCCATCCATGTGAATGAATCAAAATTATTTTTTGGGTCAGTCAGCAACAGACGCAGTTTCCGGTGTCCCAGAGAATGTTAGGAGTGAACCCGTTCGGGTGTGCGTGTGCCGGGAGGTGGGGGAAGCCGAAACCGCGGCTCCAGAGCAGCTGGGTCTCGGCGCATGTTGCTGGTGGGAGCGTGACATGGTGCGGTCGTCCCGGAACATGGCTTGGCGGCCTCTTAGCATGTGAAATGTGCACGGGTTTTGCGGGCTGGCCATTCCAGTCCTGGGTGTTTACCCAAAAGAAAAGGAAATATGCGGCCACGAGCGGTGGTCACCACCTCGGTGGTGGAGCCCTTTCTGCGGCACTAGCGCAGTCACTGGGGCACGGGAGCGCCCGTGTTGGGGAGAAGCCGGCGCGGGCCACGTGACGGCAGTGGCTCCTGAGTTCAGCCGGAGACCGGGGGGACCCAAACAGGAGGCACTCACCATAGCCTGGAAGCGTCTTTACGCTTCTTCACTGGGGGGACCCGGGAGGGGTGGGTGTCCCGCCCCTGGCATCGTGTCAGCAAAGACCGCAGGCAGCCCGGCAGCGTGACACTGGGAGTCCCCCCCCGCCCGCCACGAGTCGGGCTCGGAGGACCGCGGCTGTAGGCGAGCAGGGCGCTTGGGCTTGTCGGAGGGCCCGTGCAGAGCCCGGCTTCCTCGGGGTGGTGAGCGCGTCTGCTCCAGAACGGACCGGGCCTCCCCGCGTGCCCGCGTGCCCCAGTCCTCATGCGTGGCCTCTCACCCTGTGTCGCTTCCCGCCCCTCTGTTCTCCAGCAGCCGCCGTCATCCAGTGGCAGCGTGTTCGGGTCCGGAAGCGCTACGCGAGGCGGTGGCTTCTTCAGCGGCCTCGGAGGGAAGCCCAGCCAGGACGCAGCCAACAAAAACCCGTTCAGCTCGGCCGGCGGGGGCTTCGGATCCACGGCCGCCTCGAGTGAGTGGAGCGGGTCTTCCCAGTCCCTCCGCCCCCTGCCCCAGGGCAGTGTGGCCTGCTGTGACCTCGTTTCTCAGCTGCGGTTCTTCAGTGAATGTGCCGTGGGGTTCCGAGGAGGCAGTGGAGCTGCGGGGGGCGGGTTGCCGGGAGTTGGGACTGAAGCGCCTGGAAGTGCACTCAGGCAGGCGGGCACGGACGAGGGCAGCGTGCAGGCCGGGGTTCCGGGGGTGCAGCGGGGCGCCGTCCGGGCAGCAGCGCCCTCCCCGGGCTGGCTCCAGAGTTCCCCGTAGGGGAACGTCGCCCGGAAGCGGAATGAAGCCTGCGGCGTTTCTCAGGTCTTACGTTCTCGTCGTGTTTCACGTGGCGCCGCACCCTTCTGCTGGCTGATGTTTAAAATTCGTTGTTCGTCTGTCTCTTCGTGGTGGGAAATGAAAGGAATTCTTTGGTTTAGATCTTTAAAAACACCTACGTGTCCCGCTGCCGATGGGGCTGACGTGGGGAGCTGGGAGTCGGCCGTCTCCGCCTCAGCCTCTGTCGTCTCGTGCGCTGCACACACGGCGCCCTCGCCCGTCGCACGCTGTGCCTGACCTCGGAGGCCGAGAGCTGGCTGTCTGCGGACAGGGCAGGCGTCCCTGCAGTCGAAGGCACAGCTCTGTGTCCCAGGACTGCTGGATCCACAGGTCTGGTATCTTGAGGGCGCTGCGCATCTGGTCACGTGGAAGGAGAGATGGCCTCCGCTGGGGTGGCTCAGTGGCTTGAGCGCTGGACCGTGAACCAAAAGGTCGCGTTGCCCGGGTTGCGGGCCCGGCCCCCAGTGGGACACGCGTGAGAGGCAGCCGCGCGGAGCTGCAGGGCTGCACACACAGCGTGTGAACACCAGGTCCTGCCTAGCGCTCTGCACCATCGAGGGAGGAGCACGCTCCAAATGGTCAGGTGACTTCTTGGCGGGGGTGAGCGGGGGTGGCAGTTAAGTCGTGTAGCCGGAAAGTAGCAGATCTGGAGTTCAGCCGCGTCTTGCACAACGTGCCCAGCAGCATCTGGCACGGGACAGGCCCTTGATAACGCACCCGTTACAAGTGTGGGCTTACCCCACGGGTCGGTTATCGTCTGTGCGACTTACCAGCCTGTTTGGTTAAAACTGCGGCGAGGCCCCGCCTCGTAAAAGTTCACGTCCTTCCGGCCGGTCCGCTTCCGACGCCACGGCTCTTGCCTGTGGGAGAACAGCCTTCCCTCACTGATGGGCCGGACTCCGGCCCCGCGCCCAGCGGCACCGGGGAGTGTTTGTTTACGCCGAGCAGACTGGACCGTGCCCTCCCCGAGCCCGTTTGCGGCGCGCCGTTGCTCCCGATGCTCTCGCCCTGGTTTAACACAAACACGTCTGTTCGCGACGCCAGGCCCTGCCGGCCCTGGCCCCTGGGCGCTGGCAGCTGTGGCCCGGCACCTGACGTGTGTGCCTCGGGGAGTGGGAGTGGCCTTGAGAGGGCGCCGGACAGACCTAGCCTTGCTGCCGTTTCTAACAACTAAACGTGGGATGCGACGGTGGGGGGGACAGCAGCCCCTGCGGCCCGAGGACCAAGACCGGGAGAGGAGGGAGGAACGGCGGAGAGGGCGGAGCTGGGAGTCGGCCGTGTCGGGCCCCAGGGCTGAGAGTGCCATCTGCACGTCACCAGGCGCGGCCTCCTCCCCCGGGCGACTCCGCGGCCTCCCTGGACCGTGGGCACTGCCGCTCCAGGCCCTCTTCCTGCCTCTCAGCCCTGTCCCTCTTCCACCCTGTCCTGCCACTGTGGGACGTGTGCCCACCGCCCTGGGTGGGCTACAGGGGCCTCCAGTCTCCTCCGCTGCGCTCTGGAAGCCCCGCCGAATGGAGTGACTCGAGACGCCGCGTTAATCCTGCCACTGTCCCTACTCAGAGCCCTTCGGCGGCTTCCCACGGACCAGCACACGGGAGGTCCAGCTCCTCAGGCTGGCGTCCAGGTCCTTCACGAGCTGGCCCCAGGTTCTTTCTGGCCATGGCCGGGTGGCTCAGTCGCTGGGGCATCGTCCCTGTACCAGAAAGGTTGTGTGTTCGATTCCCGGGCAGCCGGTCAGTGTCTGTCTCTCGTTCTCTGTCTCTCTTTCCCCTTCCCTGCCTCCCTCCCCGTCAACAGACACAGCCTCAGATGAGCGTCAGGAGATGTGCACAGACTTGTCTAGCTTGGACTCAGTCTCCCCAGCCCGTCCTCCCTGCTTCAGTGCCCGGGTTCACACTGCTCCCCCGCCCCTCCCTCCCTTCAGGGGGAACAGGAGTCTCTCCCCTGTGCGGCGTGGCCTCGGGTCGCTGGGCTCCTGGACGAGACGTGGGGGGAGGGGCGGTCACCTCTGTGGGTCACCTCTGTGTGCCGGGTGCTCCGTGTCTGCGGTCTAGCCCCTTGTCACAGCAGTGGTTCAGACACGCGGCTGTCCCCACTCCATCCATGGGACAGAGAAGGGGGTGGACTCCGAGGGGCAACTGCCAGTGAGTGGTTTCGCCGGAGTGGAATGATCTGGGCGTGCTTCCCGAGCGCTGCCCCACCAGGCTGCCTCCCCATGCCCTCCTGGCTTGGCAGCGTGGCGCACCCCTCCCGGGTGTGCCCACGTGACAGCCCTGTCTGTGCTCCTTCCTCGTGGCGTCACCCGCTCACTCCCCCTTGCAGACACCTGTCCGAGCGCTGGTCGGGCAACCGGCAGGTCCCTTGGGACCGTCAGGCCCCGCGGGCCAGGTCCCGGGGCCGCCCCTGCCGCCCCGAGCGGTCGCTGGAGCTCGGCGAAGTCGGGGAAGGTCGTGTGGGGCGGGCATGCTGCGTGCGCAGGCCCACGCCTTGTGCAGGTTCCTCCACCTTCTCCGGAGACAACACGCAGGTCCATCTCCGTGAATCCCAGGGGTCGTTTAAAGTCCAGGGGCCGGCCGGGCTGTTCACGGGGGCGCCCCCGCAGCGGGAACCCAGGGACCCTAGGTGAAGGCACCGCACAGCCCAGCTCTCGCGCTGTCGGCAGTAGTTTCGGAGGGCGGGTGGGGTGACCGTGCGGTGGTCCGAGGCTCCGTGTCATCAGGGCCTGGCAGCCGGGGCCGGCGTGTCCCTGAGGTGAGGCCGCTCGCTCCAGGACCGCGGGTCAAGCACTGCGACTGCAGCATTAACAGACACACCTTGTGCACTTGGGGTCCGAGCAGGCGAGGGGGTCCTTGGCACTGGCAGGGTAGCGGTGGGCCGACCACCTCTTCAGACAGCTTGACTCGAGAGTGAGTGACCCTCTTGACCCCCCTCCCTCCCGCCGTCTCCACCGTGAGTACCTGGCGTGGCGGCCTGGCCTCGTGCGGACGCTCGAGCTCCGCCCCGGCACGGAGTCCCCTCCTTCCCCACTCCCCTACCCCCTCCACCCCGAGCTCGTCCCACCAGCCTCCCAGCTACACCTGTGTCCTGTGGGTGCAGGCCACAGTCTGTCTCCTCACCAGGTGGGGAGACAGACGCTTGTCACCCAGCTTGGGTTTAGTGGTCAGTTCCCTTTCGTTGCTGGAGGGGATCCGGAGCGTATTTGAGGGAATGACCCGTAGATGTGCACCTGAAAGGTCGGGAGCTTAATCAGACTTCTTAGAAAGAGGAGATCTTGCTGGCCCCTCTCCCCTTCTCAGAACACGCCTGGCCCCCACCGGCTCAGGCCAGAGCCCCACGCTTGCTGCCCATCGGCGTTCCCCGAGCAGGCCGGGCAGCGAGCGGGCCGCGATCGGCCGCAAAGGCAGAAGGCCGGGGGCCAGCACACTGGGCTGGGGTTTGCTCTGGTGTCGTTCTCTCGGGCTCGACTGAACTTGAAGGTGGTCTCCACGAGGAGACGAGGAGACGGGTGAGAACGAGCCTCACTCTCGGGAGAATCCGGTCTGGAGGGAAGCCGCTGGGCCCGTTCTCTGCGCGGAGAGGCCCCACCCCTGCAGGGGTGCAGACGGATTTCTGCAGAGGAGCCCCCTCCGCCTGACTGCTCTCTGCCTGCAGAGTGGTGTCAGGGCGTCCTGGGCCCGGGTCCCAGCGGGACTGAACACTGGCCGTCAAGGCACAGGCGGATCAGAGATCAGAGAAGGCGTCCGTTTCCCCCTACTCCTCGCACCCTCCTCACTCGCTCCCTTCTCCCGAACCCGCGGCCAAGGGCTCTTCCCTCCCTGTCCCGAGAGGCGGACCAGGAGGAAACCCCCCTGTTCTCCCTCTGACCTCCCTCCCGCTCGCCTGTCGTCCCCTCAGGCACCTCTAACCTGTTCGGAAACAGCGGGGCCAAGACCTTCGGCAGCTTCGCCGGCTCCTCGTTCGGGGAGCAGAAACCCGCCGGCACCTTCAGCTCTGGAGGAGGAAGCGTGGCGTCCCAAGGCTTCGGGTTTTCCGCGCCGAACAAAACAGGTACTGGTGTCCTTTCCCGCTGGGGTTCCCTCTGTGCGCAGCGCCGCGTGTGCGCAGCTGTGCGGAAGGAGGTGGCTCGCGGCGGCCCTCGGGACGCGCGGGTTGGAGGGGTGAATGAGGCCCCGCCCCCTTTGCGTTTACTGAGCATCTACTACGTGCCCCCGCTGGTCTGGGTCTCCCGGGGCGTGTTAGAAAGCACAGAGCGCATATAGGGGAACCTGAAGAGAACTTCGAGTCTTCTTAGGGAAGAAAATGTAACTGTTTAGCCACCACAGAGCCAAAGTAAGGGCCCTTGTAAGACAGACTGTGTAATTTTTTCTGTCTGTCATTTTGTCATTCTGGCCAAATCAGGTTTTTTTTGCTTCTGACTGAGTCTAACAAACATAAACACGTTGGACACACATGCACGATACCCAGATATTCACGCAGCACACGCGTGCAGCTCGGTTAGCACCCACAGTCGGGTGCGCCCGGTAACCAGGAACAGGCAGCGCTGCCAGCCCTGCCCTCTGACCCAGCGTCAGTCAAAGCGCTTACGAACTGCGGCTTTTTGTAACCACGTACTACACTGGAGCCGAAATTTTTCAGGGACGTTGCATGTTTAGACTCAAAAACATACTTCATTTCTGTCACCTGCCCCTGTCCTGTTTCTGTCTCTGAGGTCTGCAGGGGGTCTGCCTTCGCGTCCCTGTGGCGTGGACCGCTGTGTGAAAGGGTTTGTGTGTATGTGTGTGTGTGTTTGTGTGTGTGTTTAAGGCGGGGCAGAAGGGGGTGTTTGCTGAAAAAGCCGTTCTTCCGAGCAGGCTCCCCTGGGGTGGGCCGGGGGGCCCTCCCTCGCTCGGGTGTGTGGTGGACGGAAGTCCTGCCAGTGCCGGGGGAGGACCCCACTGCAGGCCCGACGCGCGGGGGGCTCTGACCAGGACCGCCCCGGTGCGCACCCGGAACCCCTCGCAGGGCCGGGGCCGTGGTCTCCGAGAGCCTTGTGCACCCTCCGGCGGGTTGCCGGGTGTTGGTGCCTCTTCCCTCGAACCTGACAGGGACGAGAGGCGAGCGGCGCGGCTCTGTTTTGGCCCCAGCCCCCGTGCAGCAGACGGTTCGAAGGCGCTCGCTCCTCGTTCACGAGGCAGACGTCCCTTGACTCAGAGATCTTAGTCCATTCGTCATCGAGACTGTTTCCTTCAGGAGCCGGAATGTTTCTTTGGCTCGTGTGTTCACCTCACGTGTCGTTCCTTGTCCTGGAGTCGGGTCCCAACTGGTTGGGGAGCCCGATGCCTTAACTTTCAGCCCTAGAGAAGACGTACCTCCCCCTCAGAACAGCTCTCCTGTCCGATCACGCGCCCCGTGAAACCACCGGGCCCAAGCCCTCAACCAGAGAGCGCTCCCTGGCAGACACACGCGACGAGTGAGCTGGTGGCTGGGCAGGCGACGGTGAGGGCGTGTGCCTCCGCGGAGAGCGGTGCCTTGCGCGTCCGCTGGACGGCTGTCCTCGGCACGGCAGCCGCCCACCCGGGCAGGCAGCTCGGGGGCCGAGACGTCGGGATTGGTGCGCTCGGCTCTCTGAGGGGCTTAGACTGGGGGTCCAGGGGGGTCTCTGAAAAATTCCAGAAGTGTCCACCCTCCCTCAGCCCAATTGCGTTAGGAAGTTATACTCATGGGGGTTACTGGGGGAAGGGACACGAGGGGGAACAGGCTGGAAGTGACCTTGCCACCCGCCGTCCAGTCCCCTGGGCTCACCCCGCTCTGTTGCTGGAGTTGCCGGGTTAGTGGCGGTGGAGGAAGGGGCGCGAGACACACCGTGGTCAGGTGAGAGGTGGTCCTCGAACCCCTCGTTCCAGCCCCGGCTCTGCCCTGCACCAGCTCGCTGCCCATGGACAGAGGACACGGCTCCAGGCCTCGGCGTCCTCGCCTGTGGAGCGGGGACCCCTCACTCCCTGAGAGAGTGGGGCTCGAGCAGACCGTTCCACAGCGCCTGGCACACGGAAGGTCCTCAGCGAATCAGATATTTTAGGGTCGGTGGTTACTAGGACGTTTTTGTGCTGATCTGGGGAAGAAGAGCACAGAAATACGGCATCTAGTAACATTGAGCCCCTCCTAGCATCGGGAGCAGGTTGCCGTCTCCGGAAACAAGACCAGAACCAGCCTTCTCTTCCCGTCTCATGGAGCTGTGACCCCACCTTGTGCGGAGGCCATGCGTGTGTGTGTGCGTGTGTGTGTGCATGTGTGTGTGCGCACGCTCTCCCCATCCATCTCCCTGCCTGTGTCCTGGTGACTTCTGGCCTCCAGTCGCCTGCACCGTGCGGCCTGAGTACCGGGGAGGCCCCGGCCCTGCAGCGCCCTGCGTGTCTAGAAAGGAAGGGTAACCGGATCTGGGATCCACCTTGAATAATTCAGCTGCGAGGGGGGTTTAGCACTTTTTTTTCCAGTCCGTTACATTCGTAACCCATCAGTCCCTGTTACCATAGCTTGGAATTTCACCCACGGTTTTAAAATACAGAACGTCTACCCCAAACGTGAGCCCCAGCGGAAAGCGCCTTCTCGGCTGGGCGGGCCCGCAAACACTCTACCGGCCGAGTGGAGTCACGGCGGAGCGAGCGGTTAAGGAGAAAGGCAGCCGGGGCCCTCCTGGTTCCGGGGCTGAAGCTGGGGGTGGGGGGGCAAGGCTTCTCAGAGAGCACCCGCCCCACGGACCCTCCTGGTGGCACTCGCTTCCCGAAAGAGGCGAGAGGAACAACACCCAGTCCCTCCCTTGCGCCCGGGCCGCCCTCGTGCCCTGCGGCGGCGGCGTGTGGCTCCCGGGCGAGGCCCCGTTCAGGAGACACTCCCTGGAGCACGGTTCTCGCACTGTGCGTCCTGTTTCACGCGGCAGGCGCTGCCCAAGCCTCTCTGCTGATGGCCCGGAACAAGGGAGGCAGTGTCTTGGGACTCGGGGACCCTCCTCGGGAGCCGGAGGGACAGTCAGGGAAGGACAGTCCCTCCCCCGCCCCACCGCCCGGGCCCGTGAGCAGCAGGGCCCGGAGCCTGCGGAGGGCGCCTTGGCCTTGGGGCCTCCCCGCGGCCGACGCGTGACCGCGGTGGTGCGCAGTCTTATCACAGAGGAGACGCGCGGTGTGCCTCCTCCCTGAGGAGGAGGGCTTCCTGGCTGCGGGGAGAGCCCGTTCCCCTGAAAACCCTCCCGGACAGCGGGAGGGGAGAAGGCCGCGGCGGAGACGTGAGAGCCGATAGCTTTAAATAAGTAAAAAGCCCCTGGCGCAGCGCCAGCCCCCAGCAGCTCTGCCTCCCGAGAGGCCGTGACCCGGCCCACGGGTCTCCCGAGGGGGGACTCGGAGCGGCCGTTGCCCTCCTGTGGGTTTCCACGCGGTGACACCTTGCCTGCCTGGCGACACGCAGTGGGACTGCCCGTTGTCTCTGATAGCTGGACGGGGGCTGGGGCCTTTGAGACCGGTTTCACAACGGAGAATCTCAGAACAGTGCTGCACCCCGGGAAGGGGCCCCAGGTGCACCCCAGACACCCCGAGCTGATTCTTGGTGACAGTCCGGTGTGACAAGGCCTGGAGCCGGCAGGCCCAGCGCACCGCCAGGAGGGCCCGGGGTCCCCCGGACGAGTGTGGGTCTGCTGGGCGCTCATGGTCCCCGGGGGCCGCCCCCGAGCAGCCCCCAGACCCGGGGTGGCGGTGGGGTGGGCCGCGGTTCCCGGGACCCTGCCGACACAGGGCGCCGCCCCCGTCCGAGTCCCGTGTGTATGTGCGGGTTTCTAACGTGTTCTCCCTTCTCTCCCTCCTCTTTGCTTTGGCCCCCACCGCTCACTGCCCCCTGCTCCCGCCCCCTCCCTCCCCCGTTTCTGTTTGCCTCTGTTTTGCTCAGGTGGCTTCGGTGCTGCTCCAGTGTTTGGCAGCCCTCCTACTTTTGGGGGGTCCCCTGGGTTTGGAGGGGTGCCAGCATTCGGGGCAGCCCCAGCCTTTACAAGCCCTCTGGGCTCGACGGGAGGCAAAGTGTTCGGAGAGGGCACCGCGGCGGCCAGCGCGGGAGGATTCGGGTAAGCCCCGGGGCAGGGCCCTGCGGCCGCCGGCCTGGCGCTAGGGGTCGGAGAAGGACGTGCTCGCCCGCTCCCTGCGAGAAGGCCCGCTTCTTCCCGCCAGACTCCGCGGCGCGCGTGCGGGGAGGCGCGCGTGCGGGGACGGCGGCCTCGTGGTGGCCCTGGTGCGGGGGTCCTGGTGGGCGGAGCCCTGTGCTCCAGCAGGGGCGAAACGACGGGTTAGAGGGAGGAGAACAGTCCTCCCAGGGCTCCTCTGCGACCGAGTCTGCCCCTCGTGTTGTCACTCCTGCTCGGGAATCCTGAGTGAACCGTCCTCACCAGATTCTTTCCTCTCGGGCTGTTGTGCGTCAGAGCAGACCGCTGTCCTTGAGCAGGCCACTCCCGTGTGACCTCCTCCACTCCAGCCCCTCAGAGAGGGCGGTCGGCCCACCTTCCCCCGGGCCGGCTTCCCCGCTGGGCCCTAAGTGGGCCCCTGACCACTCGCGGGTGGACGGCCGCCCAGCTCTCAAAGCTGCTCCTGTGGCCCCGTGCACGTCCTCGCTTAAAAATGCCGTGTTAAGCATCGGCCTTCAAGGGCCGCGGCAGTTCAGTCCGGGTGCCACAGCCCCCGGGAGAAAGCGGCCGTCACCGCACCACGAAGTCCCCATAAAGTACCCGCGGCCCGGGCAGCGGGGCGCCTCGTGCAGAGGGGGTGCCGGCGCCCGACATGAGCGTCTCGCCGACCTCTTGCCCTCGGCACAGGACACACAGAGCGGAGATCGGGGAGGAGGGTGGTTTGGGGAGCCGCCTCGGTCCCGGGGCGGGTCTTGCCGAGGTGATACCATCTTCTGGAAAACGAGCTGACGTTCTTGCTCACGCCCTCCACAAAAGAACCTGGGGCAGAAGCGTTGGCCACTTTCAGGAACAGCGAGCGAGTCTTTATATCGCTTCTCGGGTTCATGTGGAGAGTAAGGGGATCTTTAAGTTCCCCCCAGGAAACCCCAAGAATTCAAGTCAAGGAAAGCTTTTAAAGGCGCGTTGGGGCTGACGCCCGACACCAGCGTCCTCGGCAGGTCTCGGTGACCCCGAGCGGCCCCCGCCCGCCAGCACAGAGCTCCGCCGTTGCCGGAGGCGCGTGTTGGCCGGGCGCCTTGAGGTTGCATTTACGTGCTGCCTTCCCCGCCCCGGAGGGGCCGTCCCACGGGGGTCCTGGCCGCCGGCATGGTCCATGCTGTGACACAGGGCTCGTGAGGACCGGCTGACGATTCCAGTGTGGCGTCTCCGCACAGCCCGGCGTCCCCCTGCTCGGGCCCCTGACCCCGCAGACCTCTGAGGAGTGCCCCCTGTAGTTTGGGGGAGCACCACGGTGGGAGTGGCAGGGCCACGAGGGGCGGTGCGTGTGGACGACACCTTGCCGCAGCGTGGACGTTCAGAGAGGAATGGTTAGAGGGGGTGGGGTGTCGATCGGTGAGAAACGGTGGAATAAAGTCCAAAACCACCAGATACAGAGCAGAAAAACGCAGGGCTGCTCCATTTCCACACAGCCCCGCGTCTCGGAGAGCGGGCAGGGCGCACACGCCGGACAAGCCGCAGTTTGGGTGTCGTCCTGTGGTTCCGCTCCCGAAAGCGGAGACGGCTTGCCCGGCTCTGGCCCGTTCTCTCCGGGGTGCTGCTGGTGGGGTCTCTCGGGGCACGTCTGTAGGGCAGCCTGAGGCTTCCGGGCGCAGGGCGGTGCGGCCGCATTAACCCGCGTTTTCTCACTGGCACCAGGTTCGGCAGCAGCAGCAGCACCACGTCTTTCGGGACCCTCGCCAGCCAGAACGCGCCGACGTTCGGGTCCCTGTCCCAGCAGACCTCCGGCTTCGGCACCCAGAGCGGGGGCTTCTCTGGCTTCGGGTCGGGCACAGGAGGTAGGCAGGCGGTCCTCCGCACGGCAGTCCCTCCCGCTTCTCCGCTAGTGCACCCCCTGTCCCTCCCCCCGCCGCCCTGGCCCACCTGCCGAGACATGAGTGCTGGTCACTGGGTGTTCGGGGCAGCGTTCTGCAGGTGCTCGAAGGGCACGCTGTCCTCCGTAGATTCTAACTGGACTCGGTGCATTATGCCTTTTCTTACCAAATTAACGACTGGCTGGATTTTTCTCTCAAGATTTGAGAACCCAAAATAACCATCTCACTAGATCTTGGTTTAAAAACCCAAGCCAGCAAACAAACAATAAGATGTAGAGACTTCACAAAACGTCTTGCATTCGCTTGGTGCTCTGCCCCTTCAGACAGTGGGCACGTGTGTCTCCTTTCTGTCTCTGCGACCCCCTCGGGAGGCACAGAAGCCGGGCGCTGCTGTAGACGCGGACGCGCGGGGGCCCTCCGAGGGGCCCCCTTGTGCGCAGGTGCAGGCAGGGAGCAGCAGAGCTGGGCCTGGACCCAGGCTCCCGCTTCAAGGGGAAGAGGAAGGAAGTGGGTGGGAAAGCCGAGAAAACACATTTCCCCAGTGACGTGGGTCTGTGCGGCCCCGTGAAGCTCAGTGAGAGGGGCCGGACCAGCCCCTCTGCCTGCACCGGGGCCGGGGGGAGCCCCTAAAATACCCTGAAGACACTCGTGGCTCTGCGGGGGCCTGCAGGAGGGCGGGCTGTCCTCATGGAGATGGTGCAGGGGGGTGGCCTCGGGTGTGCGTCTGTCTTCCAAGCGCGGGCGTGTGTGTTTTAACATTGTCCTTTTTTTTTTTACCCCCCAGGGTTCACCTTTGGATCCTCCAACTCGTGAGTGTCCCCAGGGCGGAGGCACGGAACACGGGTGACGGCGGGGCGGGGCGGCGGTGTATGGAAACGCCGCGCAGCTTGTGCTCTGTGTGTGCACACTTCCTGTTTTGAAAGCTCGTCCTGGGAGCTTGGGGGCTCCGCGGCAGGTTCGGGGTGTTGTGGCTTTGCCAACCCTAGCAGGGGTGTGGCGGGCGGTGCCAGGCTGAGCAGGGCCTCGCCTGCGAGAGGGACGGGCCTCCCAGTGGGCAGAGGCCGGAAGGCAGGACTCGAGTGATGCCTTTGCAGTGGGTGCCAGGCCCTCGGGCCAGTCGCAGCCTCCCTGCGACCTCCGTGCGAGTGCAGAGCCTGCAGCGCGAGCGCCGTGAGCCACGCAGGCCCCGAGGCTGACCGGCACCTCCCTGCAGGTCCGTCCAGGGCTTCGGCGGCTGGAGAAGCTGAGTGGGTGTCGTGTTCCTCCCAGTCCCTGGGCCCAGCTGCCTGCTCGGCTCCTGTTCGCCAAGCAGCACTGAAGCCGCCCTTCACGTGGACGTCCTCACCAGCACCCCCAGGAGGAGGCGGCGGGACCGGAGCCCACAGATGCTTCTCCGCTGTCCCCCGACCCGCCCCCACCCCCCCGCACCCCTGCCATTAAACCGTCCGGTGGGTTTGCACACAGGTGTGAGTGGGTTTTCTCCGGTCGTGCCGAGGAGAGAGGTTCCCTCCTCTCCGGGGCTGAGCAACTGTGCGGCCGCCCTCGGCCTGCAGCGGGGTGCTGGCGCCCAGCCTCTGGGTCTCCTCCTCGGGCCCAGGGGCTGCTCACAGGGAAGGGGCTGAGTGCTGGCTCGTCATCTCCTCGAGTCGGTGCCGGGACCGTCGGGGGCCCACTTCCGGTGGGCGGCGGGGAGGAGATGCCTGGGCACAGCCCTGGGCGGAGCTCAGCAGCAGCCCCGCAGCAGGCAGGCAGCTGCGAGGCGGACCCAGAGCGCACCGGGACGGTGTCCTCGGAAGGGCCCGGCCCGTCTTCTCGTCCGGCCCCAGGCGCTGTGTGTTCTGCAGCTGATGCCTCCCACTCTGGACAGGAGGTGGGCGGTGGGTGGCAAGACAGCCTTTCTGTCCAGTGCGTGACAGCAATGCTGGCACGCGTGCCTGGCTCTCCGTGAACCGCAGTGCGGACACCCTAGTCGTCCCGTGGGCGGGGATGCGGCTGCTTCCGGGCACCGCGGCAGCGCTGGCCGGGCTGGCTGGAGCTCCGCACCCCGGGTGCCCTGCAGCACCCGCCACCTGGGGCTTCAGGTCGGGCATGTTTCGTTTTTCAGGCCAACGGCGTGACAGGTACTGACAGGCAGAGGCGGCCCCGTGCGTGGTGGGCGGCGAGGGATTCGGCCCAGCACGTGCCGTCTGCTCCTGCGCAGGTCGTTAGCAAGGAGCGCTGGAAGGGACAGGGCTCTGGAGCTGGACACGTTGGGAAGGAGTGTCCCGACACATTTCAGGGACAGTTTTCCACGTGGTTCCCCACGGGGGTGGGTCTCCCCGAGGCCCCCTGTGCCGCAGCCGGGCCTGCTGGTCCCGCTGGGCTGGTGCCGGTCGCCCAGCCCCCGCCCCGTGGCTTCCAACCACGTGGCCTCGGAGCAGGCGTCGAGGTCCGTGCTTCCCCCACTTCTCCCAAGGGGCGCGTTTCCGTGGGCAGACGGCTGGGCTTCGGACTGCGGGACGCCCTGCGCCGGAATGAGACCCGCGGGCGTCCCGGGCGACTGGCCCTGCTGCTCTGTGGGGTTCTCGGGAGAGAGTGAGGTCTGTGCGTGCTGCCCCCACGGCCGCCTCAGACAGCTCTGGTCCTGGTGGGGCAGAGCGCCTGTGCCCCTGTTCCCACGCGAGCCCGGCCGCAGGGGAGGGCGGGCCCCCGAGACGCACTCGAGGCCAGGCACAGGGCCGTCTCCAGACGCTGAGAAAGCGCTTGACGGGGCCCTCGCTTTTGGGGGGGGGTTCATGTGACCCGCGGCTTCTGCCTCCGAGTGAGTGTCGTCCTGTCAGCCGTCACGCCGCCGACCAGCCCGGTCTCCTGCTCGTCTGTCTTCCTGGAGGCTTTCTTATAAATAGAAGCTGGTGCGGCCTAAACCCTTGACCTCAAATTCTCTGCCTTAATCCTCCCTGGAGGTGGCGCCTCTCCGCCAGGCCGTATCAGCTGTGCTCGGCCAGATAACGCCCCCGACGCCCCGGCGGCGGCTGCGCCCAGGAATGCGGTGCGGGCGCAGGAGCCCCTCTCGGCTCCTTTTTTGGGGCCAGTCACACTGGCAGGAGGCAGGGGTCATCTCAGAGCACAGCCTGCACACAGCCCCTGAAACCCAAGCTCCCGGGAGGTGCGGCCCGGAATGCGCCGTGGCTCCAAACCCGCCCAGGGAGCGGCGGTGGGCCGGGAGCCTTTCCTGGGAGGCGGGCCGAGTGGCCCAACTGGGGTGCAGGGGAGAGCCCCCACCCCACCGGCTCTGGTGGAGCGGTAGGTGGGCAGCCGAGGTTGGCCTCACACGCACCTGCTGGTGACACCCCGGAGAGGCAGGAAAGGAGGCGGGAAGCCATCGAAGGAGCTGGGCTGCGTTCCGCTCGGCTCTCCTGGATGTGCCCAGGGAGCCTCCCCGGCAGCGACTCTGGTGGCCAGCCGCACGGTGGTGGGGGCCGTGGACGGGGCTTCTCGGGGACAGGGGCTGAGCCCGTTGGCACAGCGGGCGTGCTTGTGTCCCCCGGGTGCTGACGCACCCAAGCAGGGGCCCCCTCGGTGCCGCCCCGCCCCAAGACCGGCCTGCCACTCGCCTGCGGCTCTGCTCTTCACCCCTGCAGGGCCCGGTCCGTCCAGACCCGGACCCTGGCTCGCTGCGAGCCCAGAACCCGGCGCTCGCGGGGCCGCCTCGGACGCAGGAGGCGGGACCCCGTCTTTCGGGTGGTCGTGAGGCCTAGAGGGCGTGCACGTGGAGCGCTGGGCTCCAGGGAGGCTCTCGCCAGTCAGGGACGTTCCCACCGGCAGGCCCTGCCCTGCACCGCACCGGGGAGAACCAGCCGGCGGTCACAGGGCCCCTTACGCAGCAGCAGCAGCAGCACCGAAGTGCCGCGGGCGGGGGCCGGCCCTCACTGACGCACACTCGGGGCGGACGGCTCGCTTTGAGACCCCCACTCAGCGCTGCTGAGTCGGGCCTTCTGACAGGCTCTGCAGGTGGTCCCGGGCCGCATCTTGAAGCCTTGAACTGCGTCACCAGGAACATGATCCCACAGCATCTGAAAGACAGTCTGACTCCCGTGGACACGTTTATTTTGTCAGTCAGTAACCCAGGCTAAGGGGTCCCCCTGAGACTGTTGATGACAGTGAGCTCGACTCCAGCTGCTCTCCGGGCACCCGCTCAGAGAGCACCGGGAAGAAAGCACAGGTGGGCTGTCCCCTCCCCTCTCCGACAGCCTCTGGACGCCGCCTCCAGGCGGGCTTCCCGCCCTCTCCTCTCAGCCCTTCGTGCTGGCGACAACGTCCGCGGGAGCAGGAGCGGTGTCCCCACGTCCTGCCGTACTGGGTTCCCGGCTTGTCTCTTTCTCTCCGGTCCATCCGCCCACGGCCTCCCACCCACAGCTTGTCGCGGAGCGGCCGTGGGTGCCGCCAAGCGTCTGCTGGCCCTCGTGCCCCGGTCTGTCGTCCCTCCGTCACTCACGCGTGGACAAAAGCAGCGGGCTGAGATGGCGGTGGCCCCGCCCCTGCCATGTCCCCGGTGTTGCCCGTGGGAGGTTTGGTCTCAGCCAGAACCAGAGGCTGCCCGGTCACCTGGACGGAGGCGAGGACAGACCGGAGGAAACCCGATAGCTCTCTGCCGAAGACTCCTCGGAGCCCTTGCTGTCCGCGTCTGCTTTGTAAATCAATAAAGCGAAGCGGCCTGCCATCTGCCCGTCGTCCTGACCTTGGAACCGTTCCGCTGGCACCGGGTCCCTGGGAACCCGCCCCGGGACCGGCTTCGTCGCTGGCATCGCCAGACAGAAGCATCCCCAGCTCCCGCGGGCTAGCTGCCACCTCCTGTCCGCACCGCGGGCCCTGAGCCACACGGGCATGACCCGCGCGGGCCCACATGCACTGGGCTAAGCCGCCCGTGCGCCGCAGGCCGGGTGAGGGCCTCAGCTGGGGGTCCGCGTGTCCAGAGAGCTGATGTCGGCCATGGCGGGCGGTCAGCACCCCACCCACCGCGTCGTCCAGGGGGTCTCTTTGCCCACTGTACCAACAGGGGCCATTCCTTGGTGGTGCTTCGTGTGTCGGGTACCGTCTGTCGTAAGTGCTTCCCAGACATCTTCACGGGGCCCCTGTGAGCCAGACACCCCAACCCCTGCCCTTGGATGAGAGCGTGAGGCCGAGAGGAGCGGCATTTGCCGAGTCCCGGGCCAGGTGGCGGTGGAGCAGGAAGGCCCCCGGCCGTGCCTCCTGCCTGCCCCGTCCGGTGCCACCCCACTGTCAAGCCCCTGCCCACGCAGCCGTCCTGTCCGCCCTGGGACAGCAGGCTGACCTCAGACACAGGCCACAGCAGTCACCTGTGGTGTAGCCATTCGACCCCGTCCTGCTGGCCCCAGCCTTGTCCTCGGTCACCGTCTGTCTGAGTCCCCCCCCCCCCCCCGAGGAGGCGGGGCAGAGGCTGAGTTTGGCCTGTGCGGGATGCACCACACACAGGCGGGCGGGCCTGTGGGCCGTTTTCTGGTGAAGGCGGTCGGTCCGGAGGAAGCAGCTGGCTCCGCGCCCTCCGGCTGGCTGACCCCTCCTTCCGCCACGGCCTCTTCCGGGGTCTGGCCCTGAGGTTTCCCAGAGCCCCACAGGAGGTCCGCCGCAGGCCCACTGGGCAGCTGCCGTCCCATTGTTCAGCCCCGTCTGCTTATAAATAGAACCCCGGCCGTGCCGCAGCCCCCGCCGGAGATTCTCCACATTGTTTTCAGCCCTCGGCCGCCAGCTGCAAAGAGTCTGTGCTGGGGATGGGGGTCGGGGGTGGGGGGTGCAGCAGGCAGGAGCCCAGGGTGGCACATGGCAGCGAGGGGAGCTCACCTCTGCCCTCGCCGGTCCCTTAGCGCTGTTCAGGCCCCACCTCCCGACCCCGGCGGGGCCGGCTTCTGCGCAGCCTTCCTAGGCCTGGCCTTCCACCTGGGGGTCCTTACCATGGCTGGCGGTCCCATGTCGGTCCCTCCTGCCTCCCTCTGCACGCACCTCTCCCTCCGCCCCCCCCCCCCACACACACACACAGCCTTCCGGCCCCGGCCAGCTCGCCTTCCCGTGACCCTGCCTGTGGCACAGAGCTCAGGATCCTGCCACTCCCCCCCGCACCTTCCGAGCCACCTGCGCAGCTGAGGTCCCGCGGCCCCACCCTCTCACCGTCCTCCCGCGCTGCCACAATGTTAATCACTTGTGTGGTCGTCAGTTGGCTGATTTGTTTGTCGAGTCCACCCCTCCCCCCATCAGCCCCGCGGGGACAGAGACCCCGTCGGCCTGGTCTGTCCTCAGCTCCTGCCGGCGCCAGGACAGCGAGAGGCAGGAACTGTGGGATGAATGCCACCCTTGAACGACTTCCCGGAGAAAAACCAGGGCTTCCTCAAAAGCCACATCCTAGCAGGAGATGACAAGGGGGTGGGGGCAAGGCTCTTCCTGAAGGTTCAAGGG